CTGTAGTCGTGATGTGATATGTAGCGTTGCTGGTTACACACGGTAATTTCGGTTGCGTTTGGTGTATCCCAGGATACTTATCGAGTAGCGGTTGATAAAATGGGTCTATCGTATGCTTAACTGTGACCGGGGATAATCTGTAACCAGAAAAAGAAGTTACGCAAACGAATAATTTAGTGTTTCCGTCTACTAGCCTCCGTGTGCGCGTATCGATTATTAGATCGTGGTGTTGTAGAATGCCCATACCAATGATTGGCATAGAAACATCTGCAACAACGAAGATCCAGTGAATGGGTTTGCGTAAACCCACGTCCAGATAAACTTACCTTTTGCCATACGTAGCGATCGGTTCTCCGTTTGCCTCCTGTAAGTTTAAGGCCGAGTCGTGAAGCCGGTCGTTGAGATTCGCTGGGAGAATGCTAACTTCTGCGCCAGAGTCGACGAGGTAGCGAACTCTCGTTGTCACATCTGTGACGTATAGCAGACGGCTATGTCGCAGGTCTATGTTATTAAAGAGTTGATGTAGCCTTTGTCGATCGGTTAGGTCTCCTCGTTTAAGAATCGAACGCTTTAAGGTTTCGTAAGGTTCAGAAACATCACTAGTAAACATACTAGGTGTTACGCACCTGTTGAATTCCCGCGGTAGTGCCTTGACTGCTGCGAGGAATTGTGCACGTGTGTCGTTCACGCCGTGCTCGTGGAAGTCAGCTTCTGCGTAGCAGAGCCAAGCTTCGATATTGTCGGGCCAGAAAGGCATGAGTTGGAACGAGGGTGGGGACATGGTCTTAATCTTAAGTACCTTGGGGGTCTGTTCAGCCATGGGGGAAGATTAAGCACGAGAATACACGAGTGAAAATATATAGATATCCAAAAACGCGGGAAGAAAATAATATCACAATGTATAAAAAATTAAAATAAAGCAATGATATGTAGAATCCCAAAATGGAACAGACTCACAGTTTACGATTTGGTGTACCAGATCACGTCGGGCTCACCAATGAAGATGGCACGGGTATTCAGTGTTTGACAACGCTTTTACCAGTAACACCTTCTAATATAACTCGTACCCACCAAGAGAGATCGAAAGAGAGAATCGAGGAGATCAGAAGTTGTATTTGACGATTGCCAATATATCGAGAATCGTCTGATCTAATCTGGCAAACGATTGCAGTAGATGTTGGGCACAGCGTTCCCACTCGTGATCTGATGCGGATGCATGACCGAGCGCCTTCAGCTAGATGAGTCCACTAAAACATATGGTCAGCATCCAATGTCGAAAACTTACAGAGCTATTTATTTTGCGGATTTATTTCGCGCTACACTGGTTAATGCGTTGTCAAACACTGAATACCTGTGCCATCCTCAATTGAAATACTGTAATTCCAACTGAGTTTTACATTCCTGGGGATTTCATTTTCACTTTGGAGTGTACAGGAGTCTAGGTGACTTGTGTTAGTCCCGTCAATGATGGTCTCTCAGTTGGTCCAATTATGTTAAGGCGTCGATAAGTAGAGCTTCAATCACGTATCGATGTAATGATATCATTCGTTGATGATTCGATGAGAAATTCGATGGTCAACTGACAAGTAATTTGTTCCGAGCTTGTAAACATTTTTGGTGTTCTCATACGTTTCCTGTGTTCGATGAAAAAAAGAATCAAGGTATATCAGATGCGAGTTTATCATTAAGCAATTAAAATCTGTGATCAGGTCGCCTCTGTTTCTTGTATATGACAATGGAATTGGGTTGTGCTTAGCCAGCCAAACATCATACGGAAGCTTAACTAATCCTGGAATTAATTTAGCGGCAGTTCTTTGAATCTTTTCCAACACTGTGTACAAAGTCAAAAAGGTTCTAGCATCGACAAGGCTAAAGGCCCTATGTACTGAACATAAGGTTCTACAACCTTTGGTGGCTATCGCATAGTAATGTGTAATAATTTTTAAGTTGTAGTGACCTACTTTCATCAAGAGAATGCGATTGGTTTAATGGAAACAATTATCATTATGACCAATTGTACCAGTGATTGCTTTACTGTACTTGTTTGTTTAACTGTACTAAACGCATCCATTATTCTTCCATTCTTCCTGCCGTTGTTTGTGACCTTGCATGAACTTATGTTTGTTCGGTAAATCTGCTTGTACTCCTTTGGTGCGATCTCGGTATTCTTTCGATATCACGAGATCACCAACAAATATACTTATCTACAACCTTCAATTGCCTTCTGATATTTGGTACGCAACCTTTCTGTAGTGGTGATCATAGTCAACCGTGACTCGACGCCACACTACAAAGTCTTGGCTAACGATGGCTTCTAGGTAATTTTGTATATGGACAACAAGTAACTCAATGTTACTCACTGTGTATGTATTTGTACCTCGATGACCAATATGCAGCACAATTCACATGGAAGCACGTATCGGCAACTGCCGAATTTGAGACAAGTCAAACAATTTCTACAGGTCATTTTAAAGCTCTAAACGATCACCTTCATTTTTTATCGCTCTCCATTTCTCGATAACACACTAAATGAGATATGTCTTTCAATTAGGACATAATTTCGAAGTTTGTGTTATCGCTTATTATATTTATTACAGACTTTGTCACAAGGACGACGGCATGCATAATTTGACACAAAGTGTTGTAAGGGCTGATACTATATTCTAACCTCTGAACAGACCAGTCTATTCATTCTTCTGGAGCCACATTTTTATCCTGTCACTTATTCGCTCATTATCCCCGACTGTTTTTTTATATGATATCACGCCTGCAACTCCTCGTGGATGAACACACTAATCTACACAGTCGACAAAACAATCTGAAAGTCAGTAGACGGAGGAAATGACTTGCCATAGCTTCAAAACCAATTTGTAGTCGTACCACCTCTAACCACAAGATCCTCGAGGCCGAACATAAGATAACTGAGAATATTCACATTCAACATTTAACGGGGTGAAGGTCAAAAGCGGTGAACGCATGAACAATGGTTCGGTATGGCATGACTTAGTCCTACAGACGCGGTCATTCTGTACAACTTATCCCCATCCACACCAAACGTATTATTCTGTCCACAGCCTAAATTAGTTCTTCAAAAGTTTTTAATATCATATTGCCGATTGTCATGATACGGGGAGTCAGGATAGACGATGGCATGAATTTTGCATAAGATCTTATACATTAGGTAGTCACATCATGACAAATTTAAAATTTCGGGATCGGTTCCATCATTATGGTAGTGAAGACAAGGTACTAGTACCGAACTAGATCATAATAGTAGACAACGGTTAAAATTATAGTCTCTCAACAAATCGTACTAGGAATATTTGTCCATACAGGAAGCAAACAGTTCACATTCTCCTCAATGATCCTCTCCGTATTATCCCCACAAATCGCGATCTAGAATTATAAACCAACCAGAACAGGGCTCCGACTTAAACTAGATTGGAAGTGCAGAAAAAATAGATGTGGACTTTAAACTTATGTGAAGACAGTTTCGTGTCATCGTTCCACAGTTCTTCCTGACACGTTCGTAGAATGAACACTCAAATCAACCTTGAAGTTCAGAACATTGTCAGATTTTCTCTCTCCAGAAGACACATAAATCACTTGGACTGAGTACAGAATTGTTCCTAGCACTGTTTGAAACGTACACACGGCCTTACCATGAAGTCCTCAATGTCAGTACGCCCCCTTCTTTATAAATCTCTTAAACGAAGCACAGGAACGTGCAAACAGGTGAGTAGTAGGTCTTAAACATAAAACTTACGAGAACCGAATCCAACACACGGGGTTATTCTTGTTGAGCTACAGAAGATTATGAGGTGAGTTGATCATGGTATACAGTGTATTGAATACGCCGAATCACTCCAATACGAGCATATTATCAGGACATCATCAATACGCCCCTCGAGGAAACCTCCAAAAAATCGCACATCAGAGAGTAAAGATACAGATATGCTCCCACTTTTTCTTACTAGGAATTTCTTCCATTTGGAATGCTGTTCCAACCAGATTGTGAGCACTATCTCATCAGAGTATAGCTTTAAGGGAGACTTGTTAGAAACGTGCTCACTCATGGATTATCATCTCACACTTGGGATAAATGTTCTTGATGAATAATTGGCAACTTACCTTGTGAGGGTATTGTTCTCAACTACACAATCCTTGGAGCGAAACATACAATAACTGAGAAGATTCATATTCAGCACCAAGCACTATGGAGAGGGTCAAATAAATGGCGAGCACATAGAAATTTAATCAGTATGACATGGCTCGGTCATGTCAGTGTGGAGGAAGAAAGCCTATTGACATCATTAACTCAAACTTCCTCCTATCTCTCGTATTTTTATCTCCATTTTCCTCATTATTCTTAAAATTCGGTCTCCCCACAGTGTCTGCATCACTAATTAACTAAATTACTGATTTACTTACTCAATTTCTGAGACCATTGCCATCTTATAGTATTTGAATTTTCTCTCTATTATTTTTCACGTTGCAACCATCCAACCTCTTGCCTAGTAATGTGATAACTGTCAGTATCTAGGATCATCATTGCCTGAGAACAATGCGCTCACTCAGATTACGAGATACACAAACTCACAAACAACTACTAAACTGACTTGAAATAGTGCAGTCGATAGGGGAGATACCACCCACTCAATATTACCAAAGACCTTGGGTTGTATAGAAATATCAAGAAGCGATCGGAAAAGTAACATTTTGAAGATGCTACAGGTATTCGGAGTTTGACAACGCTCTAACCAGCAACACCAAATATGAATCGTACTCAACAAGTGAAATCAAAAGACAGAAGTGAGGAGGTTCGAAGATATATTTGATAGGTTATCAATATGTCGACGATCGACCAATCTAGGCTGGCTAGTGATTGCAGGGATGTTGAGCACGAGGTTCCCACTAATGGTCTGGTGCGAATGCATGACCGAGCGCCTTCAGGTAGGTGAATCCATTAAAACTAATATGGTCAGCATCCAATGTCGAAGACTTACAGAGCTATTTATTTTGGGGATTCATTTACCGCTACAATTTAGTTTATTGAGTTCATTACAAAGCTGTTGGATATTTGACTCATACAAGAAAATAACAGATAAGCACAGAAGCCAGATGGAAAAGAAGCAACATAGTCTATTGGCTCTCTGTCCTCAAAGCACAAATCTAAATATATAATCTCATCCAGATACCACAAAAAGAGCGCGCACGATGATCAGGTACTGTGTAAGTGATTTACGTTCCAATTATTTATATCGTAGTTTGTTTTCGCGGCAGGATTCTACTGTGGAGTTTTGTTTCAAAACCAATATGAAGTAGGTCTTTTGAAAGCCTTATCATATTGGTCTAGATTAAAAATGTAGCCACGCCAATGGAACTTGGCGAAAGTCTCCTAACAACAGTTAAAGGATTATTAGAACAGAAGAATAAACCTAAATAACTGTACATCTATTGCATCGCAAAATTTCTGTATCAAGAAGAGCACAAAGTTATGAATTTTAGCATTAGGTTTCTTAGTGTTTTACACGTTTTGCTTTCTCCATGTTACACATTCATTTTACCCAAGAGTATTAGAAATATTTCTTCACAAAATGCACTTTTTATTTCTGAATGGCTTGTTAAAACCAAAAATTTGCATGTCATATCCAATCCTTTAGTAGAGGATATCGATTTAGATGGAAATCATGATGTTTACTTTTCTACAGTAGATGGTGTACTTTACGGCATTTCGAACGTGCTTAAATGTGTTGCAGGAAAGTCATGCGGTATTCCCTACGAGAATTGGCCCGTATCTCACTACGGTGAAATCTTCTTTTCGACCCCCATTGCGGTAAGAAAACAGAATATTGCTTATTCATTGTAGCAAGTTTAAAATTCTGTTACTTCTTTAGTCTGTAGCTACACAATAGTGCTGGGTATTTTGATTTCTACTTTTGTCTAGTAAAAATAACTAACACGCTTCATACCAGCTACGTAGCTAACATATGTTAAGATTCGCTGCAGTGTATATGTTCAGTTGTATGGTGTTAATGTTGTATCACCAAGTCGAGTGGCTTATAGGGTCCATGTTAGCCGGTTGATATAACAGTTTCCTGCTCAACCAGGTGAATAAATTTCTAACTGATAAGAGCCATTGAAGCTGACATGACCTTCAAAGTTGCTCATTAATAAGTAAATATCACCAGCTTCCAACTGGAAATTTAGAATATCTAACTACTAGAAACACTGACTGTCGTCCTTTACTGGTAGACCAACCACAATAGAGACTGCGAACATTATCATGCCAAGGTTGGACCGCTGTGCAGTAGGTCTAGGAGTCTCAACCAATTGCTTTCCTGTTGTGGCTGCAACACCTACTCACTCAATAACTTGCAGTCATAGGACTTATGGGACGGTTTTTGGAATCACGGGCATAAGTCTGCTAGAATATCCAAACAAAATCAGTCAGTTATAGCGTAGAACCTGGTACATATGTACATCAGTTTAAAGGGAAAGTTCAAATTTTAAATATTTCTGAGGTTGATTAAGTTTTTCAGATCATTGTCGTGTATTCGTATTCCATCCACTTTATTTATGTCCTTTGGTGACCCGTTTCTGTATCGTCATCACGCCGAATTCCAGTAAGTGACCAATTGTATGAGTTTCAGTAAATACATCACTGAGTACGAATTTTCCTCTGGGTTGTATGAACTCGTAAAACTTGTGCTTATTAGTACACTAGTCTCTTCATGCTTTGTGGAATTTAGTCTCCATCATAGTATTTACTAACGATAAAGGATTTGGCAGCTACTCATAAGCTTAGTCTAGACTTAGCTGCACGTATCCTGTGATAATATATGGTCATTGAGATCTCGATAATCTATCTACTGGTTGAATGTTGGGTTCATAAATTGGTAATTTCTTAAACCAATGTGTGTGCCTTCAGTGAAATTAAGACTTCAAAGTATTACACTTTGATCACTGACTACACAAACGGGTTGTGTAAAACCACTTTGGAATTCATCTGAAGAAACGTTTGGTTTAACAGTAAGAATTGAGGTATCTGAGCGCGAAAATTGCATGACATTATTGATTATCCAATAATAAACACTTAACAAACCAAAGAACTGTTGCTTTTGTGGAACTACACCACAGACGATATCCGTTTTGTTGTGAATCAATTCATCTTTTCTTACCGAACTGCCTTTGCTGCAGTGTATGTGGATGTCATGGATTTCTAACAGTCAATTTTGTCAAAACATTGGTTGTGGTTATGATATTAGAGAAAATATGTTGATCAGAAAGAACGATATGAAGCCTTACCGACTTTATTGGCTAAAACATGCATTACAAGCACTTATCCGCTGTCAACTAACCAATTCATCTGGGCAGCCAGGTATGGACACAGTTTCTTTTACAGAAATTATAGCCACATATAAGTTGAAGAGTAGTGTTAGCATTTAGCTGCGATATCGAAATACGTGGAGCTGTGTTCGAACTTATTGGGAATGTGCGATCCTCAAATAAAACTAAAGGGAAAGGAAATCAATATCGATTAAAATGAATTCCCGTTACAACGAATTGTTCAGTGTAGATTCTGATAATGGACTTCTAGTATGTTCTTACTATGATTTATGTTAGTGAGAAATGCTTAGTTTGTAAATTTTATTTACTGCAATTGATCTATTTTGAATTAGACTGGGGTCATCATCAACAAAGTTTCAATTACTAAATCAGTCTTTTTACTCTTATTAGTGGGTCAGAGAAGAGGATAGAAGAAGTCTCGTTCACTATATTTAAGTCTGAGTTACCAAATATTTGTGTAGCACACGACTGCGTAAGGATGTATAGCCCAGTGGTTGGGACTTAAGTGCTTTACTAATCAAGCTACCGCTTTACCGTTATGCTCTACATAGAGCATAATTTGAGATGAACTCAGAGTAATCAAATATCATAACACCAACGTCTCTAGCTGCTATTTGAATTATATCAGAGGGCTCTAAGTTAAAAACCTGTAGCAGTGGCACCGATTTACTTTTTATATCGCCGAACCTGTCATGATCGTGAGCTTCCCATTCCCCGGTTGTCTTCATCCCCACTCTTATCTTATGCAACATTACTATTCTTAGTCCCTTATATTTTCTCCCTCTCTCTTTATATATATAATCAAATATTTATTCCCAGATCTGTCAAAAATGCACTCTAGCAGTCCCAAAGAAACCACCGCTTGAAGACATGGTTGGACCGTGAACTTAATTGTATTATTGTAAATACTTATAAATAAAACTCGTAATTATGTATAGAGCATTTTTCATTTGATACAAATATCCCATATATACTTATTTATTCAACCAAAGTAGTATAGTTAACTGCAAACAGGAAAACTGAATGTACATGGTTAATTGAAGGCTTACTGTATCCTCTCAATTTTATGCATCAATTATGTTCACAAAGTGATGCAACAAACTTCTTTTCGTTTTTAAAACTATTTTTTTAAATAAAGGTTGATGTTTACGCTGAGGGTTTCAAGTCAGTACTTTTTATTAGTCATCATGGAGCAGTGTTTACTTATGATTATCTTGGGAATTTATTGTCACATTTTCAAGTAAGTCCAACTTTTTCTCCTGACCGGATCAGATAAAACAGTTTATCTATGTTTAGTTATTATACTTGATTGTAGCTGCTACCTTGACGTAAGGGTCGGGGTTGTCTATCGTAGTGATCTTGTTGAGCTATATCTTCTGGAACAGTTGTTCTTTGAGGTCCTATCTTGTTAGATAGGTAAATCAGTTGGGGAACGGTAAGATCAAAAGCAGCAAACTCGTGATTCGAGGGATAAGTCGTACTGTTGAGTGTACCGAAGTGTGACGGCAATGAGGTTTTTCTATTAGACAACCGGGATCTGGAGCAATGCTGCCTTCTCACGACGGGAAGAGCTAGAACAGTTTGGTCCTCAAAATTTCACCCCAGCCTACCTCATAAACTTCCTTCTTCGATTTGAGGCATTTTGAAACATGGAGCTAATACAGTACAAACTACTGGCAGCAAACTACTGACCAGTATACTTACTTACTTATGTCTGTTACTCCTAATAGAGCATAGGCCGCCGACTAGCATTCTCCAACACACTCTGTCCTGGGCCTTCTTTTCTAGTTCCATCCAATTCCTGTTCATTTCTCTCATGTCTATCTCCATTTTTCGGTGTAATGTGTTCTTTGGTCTTCCTCTCCTCACTTGGACTTCAAAATTCCATGTGAGGGCCTGTCTTATGACACAGTTCGGTGCTTTCCTCAATGTGTGGCCTATCCCTTTCCAGCACTTCTTCCTCCGCTGGGATCTGGTTTGTTCTCTCCCACAGTTGGTTATTGCTAATAGTGTCCGGTCAACGGATCCGAAGTATTTTGCGTAGACAACTGTTAATAAACACGTGTATTTTCTGGATGATGGCTTTCGTAGTTCTCCAGGTTTCTACCACATACAGTAGAACTGTCTTGACATTTGTATTGAAAATCCTGACCTTGGTGTTGGTCGACAGACAGTTGTTTTGAGTTCCAGATGTCCCTCAGTTGTAAATATGCTGCTCTTGCTTTTCCGATACGCGCCTTCACATCTGCATCAGATCCACCATGTTCATCAATGATGCTGCCCAAATATGTAAAGGTTTTTACATCTTCCAAGTCTTCTCCGTCAATTGTGACTGGATTGGTGCATGCTGTGTTGTATCGGAGAACCTTGCTTTTCCCTTTGTGTATATTGAGACCTACTGCTGCTGAGGCTGCTGCTACACTATTGTTCGAGTCAGAAGTTAGGGCAGACTCATTCGAATCGATAACTCTAAGTGATGACCATCAGGATTGTCTTCGCAAATTTTATTTAACTTTGTCATGGACGTGCTTTTAGAGATAATACTCATCATCTGGGATTTCAAGAATTGATCTACCAGGAGATTCACTTGCTGATTTGTAATATTCAGATGATGTAGTTCTGTTTGATGGAGACGCCGACAGAATGAAGAATATTCTGACTTATTCAAGCTATAATCCAAGCATTTTTCGGATGTGTTTTTCCTCAAGATGTGAAATACTGTTCAGGACTAATCTATATCAATACCTGAACTAATGATAGGGCATGAAGTAGTTGACTGTCAATCGATTCAATAATCTCGTAAAACTGTGTAGCAGTTCGCTTTATGGCTGCAAAATGTGGCCATTAAGAATGAGGATATTTGTAGGTTACCGGTGTTCGACCATACGTGTCTTCGAAGCATCTTCGTGTACTTTATGACCAATCGTGTTAGCAGTGCTGAGGTTATACGCCGAGTAGTAGGTAAGATGGCAGACTGGTTGGTGGTTAGTGAAATCTTATCGAATAGTGATTAGGATAAGTATGACTTATATCCACCTACCGACTACCTCGACGCGCGATTTTGGCTGATATACAATGTGTTGGAAGAAAGTTAGGGGCAGTTAAACCAAGACATGGGATCAGTCCATGATGTCATAAACTGTTGTATTGAACCTTGTAGGTAGGTACAGACTATCTAATCGAGATCCAAGTGATTATCGTGACCAATAGTTATAGAATTTGAACGACGACTCAGAATCCTTTTTAATAGGTCAGGTACATTTACTTCTTGCCTTTCATTAGATCATTGGTTTCTAAATTGCCTCCTTTTCACTTCCGCAAATCCATTTTTTCTTGAACCGTTTCTTCTCCGATCAATTTATTTTATTATTGGTACTAACTACTAATCTGGTATTCTCCTTGATCATCTCATCTCTTTGTGATAATGTAGTGTGACAACTTTAACCAACGCACATATCTCCCATGTTATACACTGCATGTCACTGACTGACTTATCTATATAAATACTGCATATTTGTAAGTGAATTTTTTAGGATACTGGCAGATACGATTATGACTGTGAATATGTTGTGAGGAAAAGTGTTCTGAAACATGCCTACATTGTCATTATTGTTTTAGCTTTTTCACCTCATGGTATCAAGTATGGCGCTAGTGGTCATGATAATAATGCTAACAATAATAATAAACAGCTTATTCACTCAGTACAAATTTACACAATCGGATTCAATTCTCATATTCATAATTTAGAACTAATGACTACTATTCACTTCTTAAGATTTAAGTAGATATAATAGAGTTCAAAGCTGCAACTCAATAGTTTATTACTTTGATCACTAATTCATGCATGATACACTAATTTGTTATTCGTTTACTTATTCCCACATAAATGTTGTACCACTTGTCATTCAACTGATGTTATAGACACTAAAACTGATGAAAATTTTTGCATGGGTTCGGTCATATAAATTTCAATTTGTATAGAATCCTTATAATGTTTCTATCTCAAATCACTTGTCAAAATCTTTAGCATTAAGTAATATCTTAAGTTTTGCTGAAAAACATTGTAAACTCATGCAAATAATAATACCACTAAAAAGGATAGTACTAATCAGTACGGGGTTAAGCGTTCGCGTGCGAGACAAAAGGTCCTGGGTTTGACCCCCGCGTGTGGGATCGTGGGTGTGCATTGTTGAGGAGTCTTATAACAGGAAGAGACAGCCGTCCAGTCCTTCCAGGTTTTCATTGGTGGTTTGGCTTAGATCGACTTGTGAATTCAACTGTGAAGATAATACTAATGTTATAGATTGTGAATTATCTGAAAGTGTTAATTATTCTTAAGATTTATAGAACTGTGAAGGTATCTGAGATATTTTAGAAAGTAGTTCAGTTAAACTCTATGTGTCCTTTAGTTACCTTCATCTTGTAAACGTGATTGAACCTGGTAAGATCGAATTTCCCAAGTAACTCATGTCAATTAGTAATATGTACTATACATCTTTGATTCTGACACTAAAGCATTATGATCAACATCAAATAGATCACACATAACGATTTAAAAGTTCTAGTTTTCAAATAAGAGTTCTCATATGAGTTGAAGTTTCGTAGTCCAGTTTCACCAAGTTGTTTTTCGCATTTTTTAATTTGAAGTGTCCACATACTTGTTTTAATTTTGGTCGACAGACAAATCATTTCTAAATATTAGTAAACCTACTTTCTTTCGTCTAGATTCCAGATATCATTCTAGATCGAAGTACTTTATCCCAAAGAGATTTTGATAAGAATTTATTTGAATCTATACGTTGGGCATCTACTGACAATCAATCAGCAATACATCGTGAAAAGGTTTGTTTTTTATTAATAAATCTATCAAACAGACCATTAAACTTATTTACTTAATTCCATTTGAATAAAATGTATAATAGTGGCCATGCTTCTTTTACTGGTCCTGTATCGTGATTACGTAGAGTGATTAGACAAATAAAGTTAACTACCAGTGATCACGTACACAATGTCTTCTACCTTTACAGAGCATATTTCACAGATTTAAACTGGTAAAGATCAAACTGATGTACAAAATATATTTGTTTTTTGATGTACCAGTAGACATCTCGTCTGTACCACAGCTTTTGTAAGTTTGCAAGACCTACCATAACGTTTTGTATCAATGTTGAAATTTCATCAGCCACTAACTACTCTCCCATATGTACATTAGCCAACTTGTCAACTATTTTATTTCATATGATCAGACTAGGCATTTTTAACACTGAAGTAGCAGTGCCTGTATGCATATTGTATTAAAGCGACTTAGTTTATTTCTTCTCAACAGTTCTACTTGGTTTTCCTTCAACCAGATTTATTATTTCGTTGCGTCATTTTACTAATAATAACGTCTACTTACATACATGAAATTCTTGTCGAAATCCAGGATCAGGATTAATATTCCTCACTTGTGTGGGATTTTCCACAATTCTCAGAAATCAATTTATTTCACTGACCTTAGCTAAATCACCTAACTTGTGAGTTAATGTGTCCAACTGATTGAGATAACAAATATATTGTCTAAATGCTGACTCCTGCGAGTGATACACTTTATGTTAACATCTGACAACCCATAGTGTGTGTATATTAGCAGTTCTACACAGACTTATCTATGTCATAGAGCTATATCTGGTTTGTCCATGGTTCGTATGAATTTGTAATTGAGTGGTTCATCATTAATTCTTTTGATCAATAAATCATTATCAATGTAGTTCTTGGGACAAATATATGTCTAGTCAAACTTTACAACGGCAGGATGACTAAACGAAGCTAACATAACGTATAGCAGAGGAATCGAGATAATCCAGTGGCGATCATAATGAGAAAGACTGAACGTTGAGAATGTGGTTCAAAAATACGAGATGAAAAGGCATTTATGAACAAGTTCTATTAGAAAATAAATAAACAATACACTTAGACCACTATGAAATATTTTAAACCATTTTACCCATTATCTCCAATAATCGATCACAGTTATTGCTCTAACGATAACCAGGTAATCTGCATCAACCAACCAAAGCTCCACGACCCATTACGATCGACTACATCGCCTTGATGATTCCCAGGAAAAAAATAAATGTATGGATTAAGTTTTGCTAGTTTCGTGACCAGCCACCTTAGGTAATTCACCATATTTACTAAGCCAGATTTATATCTTCTTAAATTCACGGAAATTTCAAACTAGCTAACAAGTCGCTCTAGATAACCGTACTAACTCAGGCATATCCGGATACACTGAAGATGAGTCAAGGCTAAAGAGTTTAATTCATTACTGAGGTGTATCGCTGATTTTGAAATGATGGAAACAGTTCTCTGTTCAAATAAATGGTTTTGGTTGGGTTATGTTCTTTGAGCTAAATAGTTTTATAGTTTTTCTGAACGACAACAACTCTTACGGTTAGTAGAAGATTTAATTTCACAATTGGTGAATCAGTTCGTTCCGATAACCTCGTTTGTAACTGGTTGTCTATCCTGGTTTGGTTATCTTCATGTGTTCTTGGGCCCCTGACTCTAAATAAAGCGAACGCCGTGTTTAACTACGTATATACGAAATCATATTAACAGTGACGCGACACGATATGCCAGAACTTGTATCAATGCATTTAAACAACTATGAACGCAAATTTGTTTAGGAAAATGTTAAAAAATGTTAAGGAAATTCCATATGTACCGAAGAATTTTTAGAAACATGATGTCCAGTCCAATTTGTATTCAACGAGTGTATCGATATAAATCAAGACCATACGAAAAAAGTTTATCAGTCACATGGTTGGGGTTAACTGAGCGAAATACTGTCATATAAATATAACAAATCTGTATAAACACAAGTAGTCACATGTGGGCTAATTAAAACGAACTAATTATTCAATGCTTGAGAAATAATTTTAAGAAGTTCATTTTTGCTTGAAGTAGGCACTCATGTTGTACAGAACAACCATTCAAATGTCGCTATCGAAACATCTGATATAAAAGTGGAAAATAGGATTTAGTGACACTTGATAATACTGTAGAAAACCAGACCGTTAAATCGGATCATTTGGTTGATACACAAACACGCTATCCCAATCAATGATTAGAAGTCAGATTGTGAGCCAAAAAATGGTATGTTAACACGAATACAAGCACTCAATACAGAGTGAGGTCCAAACAAAGTGAATTAACACTACAATATAATCTAATATATTTAGCATCTTCGGATATGTCTATTTCTTGTCCCACCAACTAAACACGTTTTCCAACACATCACTGTTCCGTCCAGGGGATCCCATACTGTGGATTACATTTACTCGATAATTTATAAGAAATCCTTTAGGTTTTTGAAAATTCTAGCTATTTTTTGTTTGACATAAAGGCTTTAAAATTTCATTTTTATTTATAAGACTTAGTTTATATATGTATTTTCTTATGTATTTTTAGGCTATCCGTCTACATCCCATAGTTTATACAGATCCAATTATCTTAACTTCAGTGATTAGTCGATCGAATGTGAATGACATAAATTTCTTGTATACTGATCTTTTACATATTGCATTAAATTTCGTTAATTATCATTCTTATATCACAACAGCGTTGTTGAATGAGTCATCTCCTGATGATGGTGTACTGGTAGCAGCAATTGTGAATATACCACGTTGTGCTTTATTTTCTTTAAAGAACGAAGATTTCAAGTTATGTTCACCACGTCTTAAAGTGTTAGAAGTTGACTGGGTAAGTTATTATCGTTCAGAATGGATTTTAATCCTTTTGATCATTATTATATTTTGTTAACTAAGCATCTGTAGTATGTGATTAATTTATATATATATATATATATATATATATGTATATATATATATCAGCGCAACTAGGCATAACATTCAATCTCTTTGTAGACTGGTTCCCTGTCTTAATCTTGTTATTCCTATCATAATTCCAACTTATAAACCAACAAACGCCACCCATTAATTTGGGCGGTGGTTAGGTATACATAGCACATGTCCTGATCACTTCAGTCGATGAACATTTACAAAGTAATCAATCGATTTTTCACTTCTACATAGTACCCTATTATGTTGGATATTTCGTTTGTTTCTTAAAGATTTTATATCTAATTAGCAATTGTGTAATTCTGTTCATCTTTTTTTCTGTTTGCTTTCCTTCTAACTATGTTCTAGCTATCTGTTAAATTACCACCGTATATTTTTTCGTCGCCTATTATAAATGCCAATGTTTTGGGAGAGACTCGAGTCAAAGATCGTTCATACGTTGATAGTTATTATAGTTTTATTACTACATTTAGTGGAAATATACATGTGGTTCAATTAACAATGTTAAATAGTCATGTTAGTCAACTTTCGTTAGAGGTCAATAACATTTTTATTGATTCTCATTCTTTCCGTATCTCTCCAATGACCTTATCAGTAAGTCTTGTACATGTATTTTTCATTTAATTGCTATGAATGTGTTTAAAATAAATTTGATGAGTGATGGGGGATGTCGTACTTAATATTTTTTATACTAAAAACTAAATGATATACTGAAATAATTGTAAGAACCAGAACTCTGATGATTCCAACAGTTATGTATGATTACTGGTTCCCTCGGCTACGCACACTTTTGCCCAAATTTTATTCGGTTCCACACTTAGGACTGGGGCTGCTAACTGAGGTTTCGGTATAGTAGTTTCATTGATGTATGCTACTTTGTGCTTACCATAGATCAACGTGCAATGTGGAGGTTCCGGTTACCAGCTTATCCATGCACAAACACAGCCACATCATAGCCACCACTTGTGACATCACTGGACAGATGTAAGTCTACATCTTTTTCATCTTCAGTACCTTCTTCCGATACCTCTTACTACTGCAAGTTGACTTAAGAGTTGCATAAATCCAACACACTCTTGCCTTATGTTTGGATCTGAACTGGTAAGCGGTTGACCCCACTCCATCTGTGCCTGTCATATTTTTTTTGTAAAGGGTGTTTGAAGGAGGGTGAGCTGAGGAAATGAAACCCAGTGAACCAAACAGATCAAATATTGCACAAGATTCTCCGTTTGGTTTAATGGCTTATCAATCCTACCAAAAAAGCTTAAAAAAGTCCTGTTCCAGTGGGTGCGCAGTGGAATTCCCTGACTAGGGTGAAACATCTATTCAGTGCTTCCCGGTTTTCAATGGTAGTCCAACTAAGATCAGTTTGCGATATTAATTCTAAAAATATGTTTAGCAGTTGTACTATAATTTTCACATTCTGGAGATAGTGTTATTTTTTAAAGTATCATCATGCTTTCTCTATTACATCCATCTGTGTGAATATGGCTAAAATGTTGTTACATAACGGTGAAAGATATTAGTCGCTTATAATCAGAATATCAATGTTCTAGTCTCAGCCTACTAGATGGGAAACATATCAGATTATTTGATTTAGAAACCTTAACAATGTTCACAATTAAACGGTACCTATTATCAAGGTAGAGATAGTTGAACGCAAAAGATTGGTAATAATAATTAGTTCCTATGCAGAATAAACTTCCTAGAGCATCAGTTCACTTTGCATGTAATCTAAATAGTTATATCCCCTTTGAAAAATCAATGCGTAACCGGGAATTATTGTCTTGTGTAATGGTATATATACCTTTACTAAATTTAAAGTTGTATAATGTTCCTTAATTTTCAGTGTGTACCATCTCCATGCCCATTGAATAAAATGAAATCGAACATATTACAGTCTAGTGTACTTACTTGTTGTCTACAAGTGGATATTTATTCTTGTTTACGTCTTATTCTTCTTGTATCTACTAAAAAATATCATTCTCAAATTTATTGGACATATTGCCCTTCTACTTCTAATACTACTACGACTACATTGGAGTATGGAGAACAAACTGGTCAAGTGATTATTGTTCCTGGATGTCAAAAGTTACAAACTTGTTCACCATGGTCTGTTTACACAACACCTGATGGGTAAGTGCTTTTTGTCTTTGACAATATTTTCGATATTATTCATCACTTATACTTGAATTTAAAGTCTCCATTTCATTTTGTCGTTTAAAGTAGAAAAATCAAATGGAAACAGGGATTCATTTTAACCATATCGCATAGTGTAATTTTATAGTTTAAAGTTAACCATAATTACATAAGTCTATTTACCTTTGACAACGTGATATCAAAGTAGTCGCAGTATGTATGGTGCTCTAATCCATTCATGCTTATCATTTTCCATTTTTGTTTATCCTTTTTGAATGTTGTGTTTTTTTGTTTAGTGTAGTTTCCACTGCAGTTTATATTGTTAATTACTTTGCTTTTTATCTTGTGAATTTCTTCATACTGTAGTGATTGATATGTTGTTATACAATTGGATTCACTTATGCACTTTCTACGATATACATCAAATCTACTATGACCAATAGTTAGAGACTTTGAGTGGTGTGGCTCAAAGTCGTTCTTAATAGCATATTAGATGCATTCACTCTTTGTTTTCCCTTAAGTTACTAGTTTCAAGATTATTTTATAAACTTTTCTCAAGTTTTATTCTTTTGATCCATATTTTATTCTCTGATCGTATCTTAAATAAATTAATCTTTCCTATGACTACTAATACTCTTATTGCCCCTATTCTGGTATTTGTTCCGACAATTTCATCTCACTGTACTAATGGATTGTGGTAACCTAAATAGATGCACACATGTTCCAGGTTCAACATTGTGTTTGATTGGCTCAAATCCATTATGCAGAGGGGGCGATTAAAAGGAATGGTAATCTTTTAATTGTCGAACTGAATTATAATGTACACTAGTCACAGGTATACAAACGTTTGCCCTTTTAATCCAAACAAGGACATGTAAACTAATACTTTGAGTCGGTGTATAATCGGCCTCCTCTGATCCCAGTGCCTCGTTTATAGTGTCTCACCTATCATTTAACTTTGAGATGGCATGTAAACAGGCATGTGATATATGTGTTCTTGTCCTATATATCAGTGACTTAGATTATCGTTTAAACCTGATACATATCTGTGCCGTATTCTGTGTTATGCCTGACTGATTTTGATGTTCAATCCATATAGCTTTTGGAAGGCTTTAGGATTTCTACCAGAATCACTAATCATTTAGGCTAAACTAGTCAGTTAGTTGAATCAGGTTATAACTGTGGATATTTTTAAAAATCTCTAAATTCATTCAGTGCGTGTGTGAAATGTATCATTTTGGTTAGTTTTAGAGCGAAAAATTAGCTTGCTTGGTAGATCATCAAGAAATGTTAAGATCAGTAATATCAATATGTTGATGACACTTCCACAGAAAAATCCTACACTGTTTTATGAGTAGAAAGTTAAATCATATGCACAGAATGTCATGGTAGGAAAAATGGATGGTAAGTCATTTCTGGTTGAACAATCACCTGTGGAGGTTGAATGTATTATTTCACTGTCAACTCCACAATTGTAGAAAAACAAGCCTGAGGCGAAAGTTGGTAAGAAATCAATCTGTACGCGAAAAAAGACATCGTCACCTCAAGTGTACCGGAAATAGAGTCCTATATAGAAACTTCAGAGAGTAGAGGGAAGTTGAAATTTCTTGCCATAGTGATATGTGGTCTGTCATCAATAACCGAATAGACATGTCCTCAGCTACACTAACTGTACAAAACTTTCTTGTATTGTAAAACTCATTCTACTCATCGAACGCTCTGTAATTATTTCAATAAACCCTTGTTGTGGTTTAAACTGATTTTCGAATGAATCGTCGCATACTTAAGTGATGATATATTATCCTGTGATCAACTGTTGTGATCCATTATTTAATGCTAGTACTGTGAACTGATCATTTCTCTCCATTATAGCAGGTACCATTACCACTGAAGTATTCAGGTGATGATTGATGTCCACTTTACGGTATTACTGATCATTTCACTCGGTCACTGTGTCAGTGTCAAATTATCTGGTTTCCATTGATATATGAATCGTATCAATTGCGTTTACGATGCAGTCACTAAGCCGAGTCACTCCATATCACGTAGCATTCTTTACGGTTCTGGCTAGTTGTTGAGTTTCTTCTCTGAAGCTTTCGGGAGCCTAATATCAAAAAGATAGGATCTGTTTTGTGTCATCCAAATCAGCGATCACAATATGTAAATAGAGTCGATAAAGTTCGTTACTGATTATTCCTAGATGTGTTTTTCATAAGTTTTTTTTTGTATTTTTCCCCACAGTTATGCACATGCTGTCGACATTCAGACCGGATTATCGGCTCCAGGATATCCTGTTAGTTTGTTTACTATGTATCATAATGTTACAAATCTTTCTATAGGGTCTGGATTATTATATCAAAGAGAGGATTACACATACTGGTTGGTGAGTTTGACCTTTACGTTATTGTGGGTTTAGTTCCAAAATATTTTGGTCGGAAATTGCTAAATATAATTTCGAAGTACGAATGGTTTAGAGATTCTTTTAACCTAAAATTGAATCGACGCAATCTACATTGATCATACGACTAATACAACAGAACACTTGAACGTTAATGATCCGTTCGCTTATATGAGGGAGAAGAGAGCGAGAAAAGACGACACTTTCTGGGAAGCTCTAATATCCCTAATGGATGTCAAAATTGTAATAGAACAACTTTGTTTATCTAACAACAAATATAACCTTGAGACAGAAAATTTAGCAAACTAAAAGTGTAAACAACCAATCAGACGACAGCAATAGCCAATAGGGAAATATGAATTACGAAAACGTTGTCGCGAACTTCCTTACATATCAAAACTACCATTTAACAAGGAAGTTGTTTGTTAAGACCATAATTTGACGGCTTCCTTGCACAGAATACAGATGAATAAAAGAAGTGAAAGAAAAATGAGAATTTCAACATAGTTTTTTCAGTCATAAGAAAAATAAGTGTGCACCATAGTATATATATATATATATATATATATATATATATATATATCGGTCCACGCTCAGCATTCAGTCAGTCAGCTACAACGTAAGACCAGGCACATATATGCATCGGTCCAAGTTGCCCTACCTCATTAGCACAAGAAGATGAACACTGGATTCAGCATTGAATGCAGAGTGCAAAGCCTATCACTATCTATCTCTCGATTCTCTTATGTTATTTGGGACAATACAGAGAAATATTAGGAGATAAGGATATTTTTATATCAACTCTAAGACTAAAATAAAGTGATTTTCGAACCCTTTTTAACAATAACAAGTTTTTAGTATTTTGATTGACTTCATACATTATGTACTAATTTTCAAAATGTATTGTCGTAATTGTTATTATTATTAGTAGTAGTACAAATTTTAAAAAAGCTATCGTTCTATCACTTTTTGCATCATCTAGGTTTTTACTGATGTTTACACAAATTTGATTCATTTGCGACTACATAATCCTTTGGTGATAATATCACATAACCATGATAGCATGTTCAATCATCAAACTAATTCATTGCAGACAATTTCATTATCTCCAATACCTTTACCGTTACCAACTGGAGTATCGACGCCACCTTCATATCTCTTATTGTCAAATCATGGTTTAATGCTATTGAGGAGTAAATCATCTCCGATTGTTCAGTCTAGTTCAACATCATTACTGACTTATACTAAGTATATTGGTAAGTTGATTTTAAATGGTAAAATACACGATCTACACGTTTACAGGCTTTTCTCTGGTATATCTCCGTAGTTAACACTAATCTGTGTTACTTACATACTCCTGTTATCCCTCATAGAGCATAGGGCACCGCCAGGGATCTTCAGCCAACTATGTTGTAGGCTCTTCCTTCCAGTTTTTCCCAAGTGCTATTTATTCTTTTGATGTCTGCCTCCAATTTCAAGTGAAATGTGTTCTTTGGTCTGCCTCTTTTCTTTTTGCCTTGAGGATTTCAAGTTAGGGTTTACCTCATGATGGGTTTTATTAATTCCCTCAGTGTGTTCCCTATCCATCTCCAATGTTTTTCCCTAATTTCCTCTTCAATTGGAAGCTGCTTTGTTCTCTGCTACGGTAGGTTGTTGCTAATGGTGTCCGGCAAATGGATATTGAGTATCTTACGTAGATAATTGTTTATAAATACCTGTACATTTTTGATCATGGTAGTAGTAGTTCTCCAAGATTCAGCTACGTACAATAGAACTGTCTTAATGTCTGTATTGAACATTCTGACTTTAATGTTGGCTGACAGTCCTTTTGAGTTTCATATATTCTTCGATTGTAAGAGTGCTGCCTTTTTATTGTCAATTCTTGCCTTTATGACTGCATCAGATCCTCCTTGTTCGTCGATGATGCTGGCCAGATACTTGACAGTTTTCACCTCATCCAGTTCTTTTCCATCAAGTATGATTAGGTTGGTGCTCTCTACGTTACTTTTTAGGATTTTGCCTTTTCACTTATGTTGTTGCATACAGTGTAAAATTTCTCACACCGCGTTTATGTTTCGCCAGTTATTCTAAGAAGAAAATGTAATAAAACACATGCAGTTACTTGTTTATCACCTGTCGAATTCATTGAAATAACGCTCCTAAGTTTGTGGTTAAGTAAAAAAAGAGTCTTTGGTACTTGTAAATATTTAGGTACAAAAATGTAGAAATAGTAGATAATTTTACAATAAGTCATAGTTTAATCTAAACTCACATTCATGACTATAAATATAAGATAGCGTGGACAGAACAACACTATGAAAGCTTCTTCGACACTACAGCGTGCCTCGAAAGATAGTCACTATCATACAGAATTTATATGATGGATTACACTGCAAAATTGTGCATGGAGGACAGTTTACAAAGTCGTTCGAAATAAAGACCGGTGTCAGGCAAGGTTGCTTACTCTCACCCTTTCTCTTTCTCCTGGTGATCGACTGGATCATGAAGACGTCAACATATGAAAGAAAGCACGGAGTACAGTGGACATCTAGGATGCAGTTGGACGATCTAGACTTTGCGGATGAGCTGGCTCTTCTATCGCAAACTCAACAACAAATGCAGGAGAAGACGACCAGTATGGCGGCAGCTTCGTCAGCAGTAGGCCTCAATATACACAAAGGGAAAAGCAAGATTCTCCGATACAACACAGCATGCACCAATCCAGTCACAATTGACGGAGAAGACTTGGAAGATGTAAAAACCTTTACATATTTGGGCAGCATCATTGATGAACATGGTGGATCTGATGCAGATGTGAAGGCGCGTATCGGAAAAGCAAGAGCAGCATATTTACAACTGAGGGACATCTGGAACTCAAAACAACTGTCTGTCGACCAACACCAAGGTCAGGATTTTCAATACAAATGTCAAGACAGTTCTACTGTATGTGGTAGAAACCTGGAGAACTACGAAAGCCATCATCCAGAAAATACACGTGTTTATTAACAGTTGTCTACGCAAAATACTTCGGATCCGTTGACCGGACACTATTAGCAATAACCAACTGTGGGAGAGAACAAACCAGATCCCAGCGGAGGAAGAAGTGCTGGAAAGGGATAGGCCACACATTGAGGAAAGCACCGAACTGTGTCATAAGACAGGCCCTCACATGGAATTTTGAAGTCCAAGTGAGGAGAGGAAGACCAAAGAACACATTACACCGAAAAATGGAGATAGACATGAGAGAAATGAACAGGAATTGGATGGAACTAGAAAAGAAGGCCCAGGACAGAGTGTGTTGGAGAATGCTGGTTGGCGGCCTATGCTCTATTAGGAGTAACAGACATAAGTAAGTAAGTATACTGGTCAGTAGTTTGTACTGTAGAGTTGTAGTACATCTGATGTAGCCGGTTTAATTAAATCATGAAGTTCATATGAAATTATCCGCTTTTCATATTAGTTCTGTTATAGAACCAATCAGCTCTCCAACAGTATCAAATTGATTTTATCAATTTATTCTGTTTTGCTCATTCAAACTACACCCTTTTCGTCATCTGACTTGATTATAATCAAAGTATCACCTCTTCTTAGCTTTGTTAAAGTGTTCCATTGTTGTTTAAATCAATAGATATTTAGTGACATATTCACCATTTCTGTGCTGTTTAACAGCTATTGACGAACGTGGTTTCAAACCTGTTTAGCACTTCCTCTAGTATTAAGGTCAATTTGTGAAAATTATTTTGATTATGAGCATAAAATCAATTGACTAGGTACCTGACGTACAGTTTAATAGTCAGTAATACATACTCTGTAGAACAGTTCTGTTAGTTTTTTTTCTTAAAGTTTCACATAAAACCTAGTACATCGACGACATATGATCTGTATTTATGTATATTGACTTTCTGTGATGAAACTTAAAAAAATAAATAATAATGTCACATTTTATTTTAGACAATGTGGACAAGTCCATTACTCAATTTGTAAGTTTATTGTCCTTTTACTTTTCAATATTTTCTCTATGTAAAGACTTATTTTAATATTCTTAGTACATAAATGTGTTTCGGTTAAGTGTTATGGCGTGTTATCACGTGACAAAATCGCCAATCAGAACACCGACTTATATGATCTTGTCCCTGTGCTAGACCTATGGTGTGTTAACCAGCACGAGCAGCCTAGAATCAACTCTGAGTCCTTATTAGTTCTTCTCACCTAGCCTCGACCGTTTAGTCCAAAACACAAATATTAAGCTCTACTGTATGAAACGTATATTTCAGACATAAGTGGTTTATATACAAACAGACCAGACCGCATTATACCATAAAATGAAAAATAATATTTATACAAGATCAAGCCAGTGTTTGAGTGTGGGAGACTATAACTAATAGATTGGAAATTAATTAAGATTAATAAATCGTATAACAGTAGCCAATAAGTTGAATGAAAGCTTATGATAAGAGGAATACGAATATACATATTATCTAGTTACATAATAGTCATTCAATCAGTATATATGTAATAATAGTCCATAAATAGTCCCCAGCATTTACTATTTGGATGGAACATTAGGTAGTTACAATCTTGAAAGAACGTGTGTTACCTGATAGACTCGGTAAATCAATTAAACTTGATGAACACTAGTGAACTAAACAAATATGGTATTTATCACTATTCAGTGTTTAGTTAATTGTAAGTATCTCAGTCCTAAAGAATGCCATCTACTGTCTGAATAACTCAGCGTCAGCATTCCAGAATATAAAACGAAGTGACTCGAACTTGAGTCAATCAGGAAACCAACAGCTTCCTTAAAAGCTACTGGTATACCTGTCGTGAATGAAGACTTGGTGGGGAGAACAAATTAATTGTTTAGGAACAACATTACAGAGTGCATTCATAAATTATGAAAACCAGATACCAAATTCATCATTTGCACATCTTTCATCGGTTAACTTTTACATACTCCATGACTTCCAATTCTGTTATTACTTCAAATGCTCTTTGTTCCTCTTCTTGTTCTCTTCAATTCAATCTTCTTTTGACAAGCATTCCAATTCCTGTTATATACTACCTATGTCTGCCAGAATAAGTACCATGCACTACGAATACCAACTAATACAATATCTATATCCATAGTTTCTTGAGGGCTATGCTTAATCATCAAATATATGTACATTACAATTAAGTAATATATTTTTTTGATGGAGATCATGAGCCGACTGATGTTAGACCACCTCATCCACGATCCTGCTCGCGGGATTCGAACCTAGGGCCTTCAGTTTCGCACGCGAACTCTTGACCTACAGGATGCCGGCTAAGTGGTCCAGTAAGTTGAGCGTTCGCGTGCGAGACTGAGGGCCCTGGACTCGAGCGGGGTCGTGGATGCGCACTACTGAGTAGTCCCACAATAGACCGAAACGGCCGTTCGGTGCTTTCAAGTTTTCAATGGTGGTCTAACATCAACCAGTTCATGATCTCAATCAAAAACGTAATAATCTCCACAACCCCTATACTGAAAAGTTATATTTGTTTGCTTTATTTTTTCCAAAATTTTTAGATCAGTGTTCAATTCGTTAACGATCATTTCGAACCAGTTGATTCTATTATTCTTGATGATAATAAAAGAATTTTAAATTATTTAATCAGAGATTGTTCATATCATTTAAAGTTATTTAATGAATCCCGATTAGCAAAACGATTTTTAGTCAGAGTAAGTTATTTAGGAAAATTTTTATTGTCTTTTACTTTCAAAAGAAAGAATATGTATACATGTTTTTGTTGTTGTTGTTTATTTATTAGTTTAGTCAGTTATGATCAACATAAAACCTGGGAAATTGTGTTTACTAGTAGTAATGTGATATCAATTACAGTAGAAAAGACCAGAGATAGACGATAGGCGATCAAATAGTATGTGAAATTTGAACAGAATTATTGTAATGAAACCAGTCTTCTACACATAATAATAATCTATATAACTAGTATTTGTTGGTCTTCACTTAACAACCAATTACAGTTCAATGTCACGCAACATATAACTATATCTAACCCTTAGTATTTCTTGCTCGATGGTTTTTGCATATATAAACGACTCTATCAATGTATCTATAATAAAATATTAGTAACGTATTAATATCTATCTTTAATCGAAATGTATTACAGATGTAACAGCTAGCTACTGTTCAGTATACTCGTCGTTTATTTGATAAGTGAACAATGTACCTGTTACGTCCTTGATCCATCTACCTAATAATATACAGGAGAGAGCTTGTCTCGATCTAAATTAGGGCCTTGACGCAGTAGGCTATTTGGTTCAGCCTTGAGGCTAGAAATGTGTGATTCCGAATTGAGACTAACTGTCTGGTGTTGACAGACGAAAAGTATTCTATCAGCTGATCGGTTGACAAGCACGAGTGAGAAAAGACGAGTCAACTGGAACATTATTCTATCTATTCCCGACTCCAACTCCGATTCACATTCTGATTCAGATTAGTTCAAAAAGATACATGAAGAAATAGACGAGCAACACAACCACAATGCACAAACAATTAGGAAAATAAAATTATGTCCAAAACTAAGCATCAGGGCAGAAAAATGGAGTGCCATAGGTTGCGTTTAAATTACAACAGCTTTGGAACAGAAAAGAGTATGGCAGTGAATCATGTATCAAACGAAAGCTTATGGTTTGTAGAGTCAACTAGGGACAAAACTAAATGTTAGTGTTTTGACCTAAGTAAAATAACGTTACCAAAATAGCTTCTGTTGTTTGTCACAGCTTCTATGTTTCTCTGTTCACATAAATACTATTGACTATGGTTTATATATTAATCTGTCATTATTTGCCCCCAAATGCCCTGGTACGGCCAAAAGCGAGGAGAGTTCGCTCTCCCTCTCGAAATACTCTCACATGGCCACGCGTATATAGCCTCTTCCAGGAAAGTCCTAATCACTGCCTTCTCGTAGCAGGAGTATTGTTTATGAAATTGAGAGGACGAAAAGCGAATGTCCACCACTTTAAACGGGTTGGTGCACTTGGAGAGTCCACCTAGGGTGTTGGAAAACCTTCATTTCAAACCAATGGTGCACATGGGCTCCAGTATCATGAAGGAACAAATTGAGTATAAACCAATCGTTGACCACCGACAACCATGGGACCGCATCTCCTTACGATGCTCCACTGCCTTGTGGATCAGACACTCACACCCTCCCGGTGTGACCTCCTAAGAAAACCACCTGCTTCGGTTTGGGCACCCGTGCAGTATCACAGCCCTCACACATATCAAATGAGATTTGTGTGGAACATATGTATTTGGTGCTTCCTTGTACCAATATCTATGTGTTAAAATAAATAAATAATGTTATTATTTAACAAATGAATTTTACCAGGTAGCAGACTTAGTGTAATGTATATTATCATTCTAAGCTTTGGTATTCATATGTATGCTTTTTTTCATTAGGGTTTTTGCTTACAATTGCTATCATTACTATTATTATTACTTCTATTACCATCATTATTATTACTATTATCACCATTATTATCACTACTACTATTACTGTTGTTATTATTACTGTAAATACTACTTCTTCATTTAGTTGTTAACATCATTTGGTGTACCAATATCGGAATGGTCAAATGCATATATAACCACAAATATGACATGTCATTATCATTGTTATTGTTTCAGTGGTTCATTGTCTATTCAACATAGTTTACCATTAAATTCATATCATAATGAATTATATCTGTCAGTGATTGATTCAACTAATGGTTATTTCATTGTTAATTATCCAATTATAATAAGCTCTCAAATGATTTCTACACGTATTATTTTACATATTGGATCATATCAAACACAATTAATTGTCAGTTTGATTTATTTACCAGGAGTTTATTTATTTATTGGATTAACTATTATTCATTGGTTTTCTATAATAATAGCAAAACAGAAAATGACTGTACATAATAATAAAATGATAAAACAATCTATTTGAGTTTAATTTTTCGTTCTTTATTTTATTGAATATATTTAAATAACAACAAAAAATCTATTTCTCATACATACAGTGTAAACATCACAATAGTCAACTACAAATCTCATTACTTCCATAGTGTTTTAAATCCTTTTCACCTTTTTCTTCTCTGTGTTAATGTACAATTATTCCACTTTTTTCTTATTGTTTGTTTCATTTTCATGTTAGTTTTCATAATTTCTATGTTCGTAACATATCAATGTTATATTAATACATTTGCATAACAATATTCTGTATGTGTATATAAAGAAATAAATAAAATACAATACATTAGAGGCAAGAACATGATTTCTATCTGTTTCTGTTTAAGATATATGTGTATATATTACATTCTGTATGTTTGTAAAGCATGATTTTGTAGTTTCACAACTGAAATCACGAACTGATCTAAGCTAGATCATTATTGGAAATCTAGAAGCTCTAGATGACTGTTTCGTCTTGGCGTAGAACTTCTCATCATTGCGCATTGACGATTCCCCACTTAGGTGTTGAACCCAGGACTATCGATCTCGTGCGTGAATGCCTAATCTCTGTTATGTCCGCGTCACTTATTTCTTATACTTGAAAACAAAGAACTACAATTCCCACGACACTAAGTAAAAACACAAAGGATTGATACAAATGAAAGCACGACAACAGCGGTTGAAAATGCACTTATTTATATATTGATTTGTGAGTTAGTCAGTCATCTACAACGTAGAACCAGGCCCATATATGCACCGGTCCAAGTTGCCTTACCTCATTAGCACAACAAGGTGGATACCAAATTCATAGGAGTAGTTACTTCAATCGTAGTGATATATGAAAGAAAGATTACATATTAAGATATAATACTGGAAGAGAGAATTAGGCCGTAGAAAGAAATGTATAAATCAATTTTAATTTCATAGTTTAAAGGAATACAAAGAGTGTATACACTTACACCATTGTCGTCGGTTCTGAAGCATATCACTCATTCCCCAACCACTGCTTGAGATAATCGCATGGTCTCCAGCCAATTAGTCTCGATCTACCAACATGGCTCAAACCAGAAGTTGGTGACTTTATGAATTGATGTCTTATTTTGGTTTGACCTTTCCTAGCTTTTTTCCATCCGCCTCCAACTGTGGTCAGCATTGCGCGCCGTGGTAATCGATTGTTAAGCATGCGTAATACGTGGACCAACCATTTCAGTCGATGTAGATTCACAACTGATTTACCACCATTTTCTAATATCCTGCGTTTAACCTCACTATTACTACTATAAACCAAAGTATTGATTTTTACACCGATTTGATTAATAATTACTTAAAAGTAATGTTTATGAAAAGTGCCCAGAATCGTAACTAAATCATATGCTCCATGTCATAATGAACTAAAGTTCACTTTAATTTAATACAAACAATGTTATATATTGAATGACATATTACACTGCAAAATAATACACTAAGTATTCACCGTATTGAATTTCTTTTAAAAACAAAACAAAATAATGTTGGACAGTTATCACAATGTGCTAAAAGTGTAATTTTACCTTTTCATCCTACCATGTCAACTTCTGAACTACTGAGCTGGCATCCAACTGTGTTAATGTTTCAATTCAGTCGATCTATGATCATGCGCGAAGCTTCATCGATTGCCACATATGAACTTTATCAAAAGGTTTCACAGGAAATACTTTCAACGAGTTATTTTTGAGACCTGTATGTGTATTGAAAAGGTCCAAAACAATGCATTTTGTGTACATTACGTGTACACGTAAATATTCCAAAGCTATGTATCCAGGGCATATTGAAACATCACATGAAATAACTACACAACAGGCTTAGTCATTACTTAGTTAAGAAACAGTCATATCACTGTTAACTAGGGTTGAATGAGTATGGAATTACACTGTATCTGTGAACGGACGATATTCAATTAACAAAGTGCATTAGCACCTGTAAATCAATGTTATAATTCAATTAAATTGTTTAAAACCCAATAATGAAAATTGGACTAATTGAATAAAAGTTCAATAGTAGAAATCTTCACGAAAATTATTTATTAATATATACGTTTCATCATTAAGTTAGTTTCACATTGAATCGGTTGACGGTTATTTTTATTCTGAAATTAATCCTAAAGAATTCTAGTGTTATACAAACATCTCATTTGGGAGATATGATTTTTCCTCGTTTTAATTACATTAGAAATTAATTAATCGCTTTTTTGTTTTGTGTTGTATTAATTGCATATAAACAGTTTGGCTAGAAGCTCAACATTTCAATCTGTACTTAGCAATGATAAATTGCACATTAATACTGATTGTGGGTTTTTTTTATTTATTTGATAGTCATCTGTTGCCTAATTAATATTCCAGTAATATAAAATCAATGTTCATAGAAAAAGTATTTATTGCTTTGATATTAGATACAAATTTGAGTAATGAGTTTCAACAAGCTTAAAACCCCACTAGGTCAATTATCATTTAATTTATTTCTAACTTTTTATTTCTCATACTGAACAGGATTTTCCTCTCTCTTTCAGTTGTTATAATAATTAATTTGTTTATCGTAATTCATGAATTTCTCAGAAATTTTACGAAATTTATTATTCCCACCTCTTCCTCCTACTAATTCTTCAATTCATAACACTGAATTACATAAGGCATCAGTCTATAATAACGATAATACTAATCATATTAATAACAAATTATGCTTATTATTAAGTCATGGAAATGCTGTACATGAATTATTCTTTATTGAATGTATTAATCAATTTTTACAAAACTATGCTACAACAATAATTCATCCGTCTCCTATTCCTACTACCATGAATATCGTTGATGATGATAATAATAATAATAATAATACAGTTCCTGATGATCAGCAAAACACAACTAAATGTTTAATTTTTTGTTTTCATAAATCATGGAATATTTATCATAAATTAATCAATCCATTATATGCAAATAATATAACATTGAAAAATAATATAACCATCATTGATATGACAGTAATGCTAGAGAATTTACTACTCAAATCAAATTCTGAATTAGATAATAATGATAAAGATTTAATTACTGATGAAAATATTGGAACTATTATTAAGAATTGTATCAAAGACAAGGTAATTAGATGTATATATATATGTGTGTATGTTTTCTTAAAAAGATTTATTTATTTTAACACATAGATATTGGTACAAGGAGGCACCAAATACATATGCTCCACACAAATCTCATTTGATATGTGTGAGGGCTGTGATACTGCACGGGTGCCCAAACCGAAGCAGGTGGTTTTCTTAGGAGGCCACAACCGGAGGGTGTGAGTGTCTGATCCACAAGGCAGTGGAGCATCGTAAGGAGATGCAGTCCCATGGTTGTCGGTGATCAACGATCGGTTCATACGCAATTTGTTCCTTCATGATACTGGAGCCCATGTGCACCATTGGTTTGGAATGAGGGTTTTCCAACTTCCCTAGGTGGACTCTCCATTTCCACCAACCCGGTTAAAGCACCGGTGTTATAATTGTGGACTGCAGATTAGAGCGAAGCGTATTATCGATCGGACCAAAGACGCGTCAACACGTAAGAACAGCCTAGAATTCTGATTGGTCCCGCTTCCCTGTCTACCCCAGCCAGTTGAGTCCAGAACGCAAGTCCCAGCCTCTGAGATATGAATCATTATATTTCAAACATACTCTGTTTATATACCAATCAAGCAGACCACAACGTACCATAAAATAGAAAATAACATTTGTACAATATTTGGCCAACAGGAAAATGACACGTGAACTAAATATTGACCAATAGGAAAATGATACCATTTTAAGTCCAAGGATAGCATTAGACTTAACAGGATAATTTTTGGGATATTTTTCTGAATATCCCAACAGCCTGACATTCTCTTTTCGTCCTCTCAATTTCATAAACAATACCCTCGCCACAAGAAGCAGTGATTAGAACTTCCGCGGCAGAGGCTATGTGAGAGTGTTTCGAGAGGGAGAGCAGACTCTCTCAGCTCTCGGCCGTACCAGGGCATTTGGGGGCTTCTTAAAAAGAAGTATTATTTGAAGAATTACGTAATTATGGATCTTTGTGTTAAATAATTTATTAAGTAAGATAGGAACTGTTAATGGATTTGCGTTTTGTGAGTTGTTATAGTTTAGTTATAAAGTGTCCATTATTTTTCTAAACAACATTATCAATATTAAACTTCAAATAGAACTGAGCTATTTGAATTTAATGTTAATAAAACATGATGTTAGTTATGTGTTGTAAAGTTCAAATAGCTCATTTCTATCTAAAGTTGTCTAAAAAGACAATAACAAATTTCACAATCAAATTGTTCAACTCAAAAACTCATTTCTACTAATATAATCTCTATTTTGTAACTCCATATTGTTTGCCTGTGTGCTAATGATACTACCCAGTTGCCTTGATACAATTAGGTGAGGAGGTATATGAACTTATACATCGAAAATCAAGTTTTGTAACTTTTATCTCACCGTCTTTGAAACAATACCGTATAGATGAATTCTCTCAATATTCTGCCCAGATTAAATTTCTATCCAATGTAAACACACCAAGAACTAGAAAATAGCTGTTTCTTACTGGATTGAAACTCAGTAGGGTGCGCTTAGAAATATATATAGAATTAAATTCGTTATCTTCATGTCACTGAATTTAGACAAGGAGGTTACACCACTACTATTATAAATAACGATGGTAAAAACTTTTTCTCTGTAGTGCAAATCTGCTCACTTAAGATTACGTACTGATTGTATACTTTTCACTTCTTTTCTTCATAAAAACCACCCATTTTTAGACTGATGAATTTCTGAAGAATAATTACACAACTAATCCTTCGAATGGTGTGCAACAAAAAAATATTGGCATTTTCATTGATAATATAACAGCTTTATATGATCTAGGAGTTACTGTACGTGAATTAGAACAATTTTTATGTAGTTGGCTTTATCATTCACGTGATCAGCAAACTGCCATCAATATAGCGAATATATTAGTTTGTATCGGAATACATATTGGAGATTTTTTCCAAGATTCAATTGTATCAGAATACGAACCTGCTTTAGTACATCTCGTTGCTCTATGGAAATCACGGGCTTCAATTACACTAGAATGTAAACCATTACTAACAGGTTATACATCATTGGTTGATGGTCAGGTAAATTTCTTGTAAACTCTTTAGTATTTGCTACGATTTAGTATGTTTATATAATCTCTTGTTCCCAAAATAATTCACATAAAATTTATCACCAGACATCTGTAACTATTCGTTATTTCTATTTGAAGACTGATGAGATATCATTATGCATGCTGATTCCTAATTGATTAGACAGTTTTCTTCAGCTTTGTTTATCGTATTCTCATTACTCGTTGAGTCAGAGCTTATGGCAAACTGTTATTGAAATTGACAACTTCAACTGGTGCTCGTCAGGATTGTCTTTCCCCATTTTTAGTTAACTTTGTTATTGACACTTAAAGATACCGCTCTCATCATCTGAACTTTCAGAGGTTTGTCCTTTACTAAAAGATTAACTTTCTTACCTAGAATACGCAGATGATGTGGTTATTTGATAAAGACGCCGATAAAACGCAGAGTATTCTGACCACCATATGTTACTAAGTGTCTTCAAATCAAGCAATCCTTGGGTTAGGGATAAGGCACTAGGTAAGAATAGCAAATCTATCGATGAGGTAGTAAATCATCATGTGTCACGTATTCTCAGCCATCACCTACTTCAACAGCAGATATTGTCTGTTATAAGAGTAGGCTGGGAAAAGCTAGGATCTACCAGAGGAAGACATAGCACCAGTTCACGATGTTATCGACAATGGAACTGATCCTTTTCAACAGGTGTAGATTACCTGGTTGGGGTCCGCGTGATTATCGTAACCGGTAGTTAGAGAGCTTCAGTTTATATTTCCTTGAATCGTATGTGCCTAATTTTTCTCAACCACCACTTATACTGTTACCATCTCTGTTGTGAACGAGAACACAGGTGGTGACAACCAATGTATTTTAATGCTGAATCCCAGAGTTCTTTAATGAAATATGAAATAAATGCATCAAATATTTCATTTCCAAATCCTCCATCAGTGATATCAAACTTCATCTACCTTTATTGCCATAAAGATTACTCTCTGTTCCTGTTCTTTCCGAGTCGATCTGCTGCCAGACATCCCACCTTTGATTGGTGTCACATACTACTTATGTCGACATAAGTAGCATACACCACACTTCTATTAAAATGGGATTTGTCTTGGTAATTCTATCTCTGTGCTAGTGGGTGTGGGAATGTGAACCGATATATATAAATGTTGATTAACCAATCACAGTTTACGATAACTTTTGGAGTCTAAACCAGAACAGTCTGATGTAGAGACAAAATAACGTTACTTTACATAAATTTCCGCTGTGTAGTTAATTACTATTACTTCAGTTTATTGAAATTTGTGTTGTTCCTTTTTCTCTTTTCTTTTCAAAATTAAGTTAATTTGTTGGAAACGTTCAATAGAGGATAATATTAATCTTCAGAATGTTACCAATTCGAGCACATATCATTTTCATGTTGAAGGTAAACATATAAACTGTTATACTCCAGGAACTTCAAAATTGCTAACATGAGTATTTTAATCTATCTTGTAAGTAAGTTTTTTATGGCAAAAAAATAAAACATTCAATGTTTATTTGTTGTGATCTTTAAAATTCTGAATTTTCGCCCACTAGATCAGAGACTAATAATGATCCGTTCGTGTGCACCAATCAGATAAATGACTTTGAACAACGACTGGAAATCCTAATTCCCATTTGTTCACACAATGACTAATTAGAACACGAAGATAGCAAGCAGGTTTATTGTATTCTTTACTCTCCTGATTCAGAAACAGACAGATTTTCTCATCTGGAACTTGTCAGCTGCACACACTTACATCCTACTGTTGGTGTCTAGTTCGGGACTCGAGCCCGCCATTGTTCGCTCAAAACGCCATTACGTTATCAACTTAGTTACTGATTCCAAATAACTATTCACTTGTATGAATTTTAATTTATTTGTATTGGCTATTTGAATCGTTTTATTGATGTTTTGGCTGCAGTTGATCAGAGCTCGGCAATGTTAGTCTCTCGGATGCAAGTGTATTCAACTGACGAGTACCAAGTAGGACAAGACGCACGTTGAGGATTCCACTGCTAGCCAATATCCATTTCTGCTATTACAGCCTAGTAGGAACATCGAGGAAACCTGCACAGGACGTACATATGCCAATGGACTGATCAATTGTAGTCCTAAACGTCAATGGGTAGATTCATACAGCCAATACAAAAATGAATTGATGTCTTTGCATGAGATCATGTTTATCCCTCATCAAACAGAATGTTACCCACTAATCCTTAATAACAGCTTAATCGAAATAAAACTGAAAGTACTGCGTTCTTATGGAGGCTAAATATTTATACAGGTGTTTTCCATAAAAGACGATACTCCAAGTCTCATCATGGCGACATTATAGTAGGCAGTGTTAACCACTTAAAATCTGCACTAATGGTTTTAATTGATCGACAAACTAGTTTAAAAGAGCTTATTTTCCCACAATCTTAAGGTGATGATAGCGTACTTATGAGTGAAAAAGCACAGAACACTGTCTCTTATTTAAGCAGTATGTTTTGTTAGATTCTCCAGTACAAATTTCAAGTATTCCAACGTATCCATCGGCCTACTTATATTCGGATTTTTGGATACTGAAACTTTCTCAATAAAACTACCATAATCAGTTCGATGGTTGGAATTACCACCATTCAGATCGACTATCATATAATTTTTTCTATGTTTCAGTTAATTACGTATGAGGAAAAGACAACGTAAAACCCCTATAACTTGTACATGATAACTAAAGCCATTTACACATAGTCGCTTTTATCTGCATTAAGTAAACAAATGTATTTCACCAGTCAGAATCACTCAAAATACTGTAGATAAACATGAGGTTACAACTCTAAAACCAAATGATTTAACAGATTGAGATCATGATTCAGTTGAAGCTAGACCACCATGGAAAACCTGAAAGCACTGGACGGCCGTTTCGTCACAGTATGGGACTTCTCAGCAGTGCGCATCCACGATCCCTCACTCCGCCAGATCCGAACCCAGGACCTATCAGACTCGCGCCAGGCGCTTAACCAACTAGACCACTGAACCGGCCTCCAATGGTGTTAATGTCTAACTTCAACCAATCCACGAAGTCGCGTCACCGTACACCATTATCTTCAGTGAGTTGATATCTCACAACAGACCCTGTTGAACTCCACTGGTAACGGCTTCTCACTAGAACTCCAGGAGTATCTCTTGAAATCAGTCAGTAGTGAGCAGATGATTATTATCAGAAGGGGTTTGTGGATGCCGGCTCAGTGGTCTAGTTGGTTAAGCGCCTGGCGCGAGACTGATAGATCCTGGGTCCGAATCTCGCGGGTTGCGGGATCTTGGATGCGCTCTGCTGGGGAGTCCCATACTGTGACGAAACGGCCGTTCAGTGCTCCCAGGTTTTCCATGGTGGTCTAGCTTCAACTGAATCATGATTTTAATCTGTGAAATTTCTAAAATCTCCACAAACCCCTACTGACAACAAATGATTTAAATCAAATTATTTCTTCTAAATTGTAAAAAAAATGTTTTAAACCGTGTTATTTTCTTGAGATTGAAAAAAAAGCCTCATATCATTTGTCTAATTGAGTTTTATGATTAAAAACAACAAATTCATGTTTTCTAAACACAACATTCTTCTTATAGTAACATTCTTAAATGGTTTTACTTTTCGTTACAAATACACTCAAATAATTGAAATTTACAGATTATGCACCTTGAATTGTCATACTGTAGTGAACGAGAACACAAATGTGGGTAATCGAATGTATTTGAACACAAAATTACAGGATCTCTTATTGAAATCTGAGAATCATACAGTAAATACCTAACTTGCAAATGTTAACCGGTTTTCTCAAACTTGACTGTTCCTTTGCAAATATCAGTCAATAATCTCAGATTTCATTGTGTCTGAATTTTAATACAAATGGCATTCCGTTCTTTCCTTCTCGATCTTCTACTGAAATACATTCTATCTCTATCGTTATATACTACTTATGTGTATATAAGTAGCTCACACCCCAATACTACAGTTGTAAAGGTTAAATCATTACACAATACAACTATATGTTGTTAGGTATTCAATGAAAGAACATGGATCAATATATATTTGTTTCGAGTGAACTATTGGAAGAGTTCGATTATCTCACTGATCCATATTTTCTTCTTCGGTCGTATTTTCAATCAACCATTTCTATAAGCACTAATACTCTAACTGCCCCTGTTAATCTAGTATTTGTTCTGACAATTTCATCTCGGTGTACTAATGGGATGTGACAACTTGAACCGATGTACATATGTAACAAGTTCTATATAGCGTTTAACTGACTGATATAATTATTTGTGGAAACAAAGACAGTCCTCTAATCACAGGTGCGATATAAGATTAGTTGCTGGTTTATTTGTTCAACAAAGATACAGCGATAATCACCAATTTTCATTTCCTTGATTGATGTAGACGTTTCTTTACCATTAAATCAATGACTTGTTAATGAAAAACGTAGGAATCGATCATATATCTCTTTGTTAGTAAATAAGTACATCATCATAAGAAATATGCGTAATTTATACAAAAGAATAATGTTTATTTCTATATTTCGGAAATTATTATGGTATAAACAAAAGATTGAGTCGGTTGAAATTCAAAATTTACACATAACAAAAGTCAATACTAATAAGCATCTTCATTTGGAATCATTATCAACAGTTGTAGTTTGAACAACAACATTTGAATTGAGTGTTATATAAAAATTGCCTAAAGCTGATTTTAAAATGTTTGCATGTGTACGTTTTTTAGACAATGGCTTTTGAAATTCGGAACCTGTACAAATAACACCGATTAAACTATTTTCTGCTAAACTTGAATATAATTTTGTACAGAATTTACACACTTTATGATAGCATTTCTGTAAAAAGTAAAAAGAAAACAAACGAATAACAACAATATTCAACAAGGTTCGTTAGTAATGCAAAATATACTTACACAATTGACAAAGAACACAATTACTTTTTGGTATTAATGCGTTTAATTTGATAGTAATTAAGACTGTTCAACTTGATAGAGATTATCAACAACATTTTTACCAAAGGACGTGTTTACTGGGCAGCAGTTCGTTCCGTCCTACTTTATGGCAGTGAAATATGACCGGCAAGAGAAGAGGATATTCGTAGGTTACTAGTATTCGATCATAGGTATCTTCGAAATATTGCTCGTATATCCTGGGACCACCGAGTAAGTAACACAGTTGTTAGGAAACGGGTACTATGTAAGGATCGCAAATCGTTTGATGAAGTAGTGAAACTTGATCAGTTGAGATGGCTGGGACACGTGTTACGAATGCACAACCACCGACTGCCTCGACGTGCGATGTTCAGTGGTATAGGAGTAGATTGGAAGAAATCTAGAGGCGGCCAGACCAAAACATGGCACAAGTCCATGAAGTCATTGACAAGTAGACTGAGTCATTTTGGTAGGTGTAAACTACCTGGTTGGGGTCCGCGAGGTGATAGCAACCGATGGTTAAAGACCTTGAATGATATGGCTCAAAATCGTTTGCAGTGGTGTGCGCAGGTGTATCCACTCTTTGTGTTCTCCCAAATTCCAATCTTCTGTATTCTTCATTTCCCTTATTCTCTTTCCAAATTTATTTCACTGTATTATACTCCTTGAATAACATCTTCAAACCCTAATCTTTCCGATTACTGCTTATACTCTTACTACCTGTACAACTACGGGATTTGAATCGACAACTGAATCTCTGTGCTAATGTGGTATGGCAACTCAAACTGATGTACGTACGTGCGAAGTTCTACGTTGTTACTGACTGACTGATCAACAACATTTATTCTATGTATTGCTGTTAATATAATTAATGAATTAAAGAAAATATCATTTTTGGAGTGGATAATAATCGTTATTATGGTTGGTGAATCAATACTAATAAAATAATATATGTATAATTAACAATCATCCACCAGGCACTTGGATATGTGCTTGAAGTATGAGCCACACTTCAAGTGAGAGTCAATGATACTACTATCCCGTTGTTTAAACCTTACTATTTTAAGCGGAGTTCGAACTTGAGAACTTAGTGAGTGAAAGCCGAACGCCTTAATCTCTAACTACCGCCCTACTTTAGTCGAATAGTGATATGGTAAACCAATCAGGGGTAGCCAAATTAGAGGGTTGATCGATAGCAATTAGAAGTGACCTGTAGAACAAGTGTATTTCATTGGCTAAGAAATGGACTGATTTTCTAAGCGGTAGAGTTGTATAATATTTATATGGGTATCTGTGCATTGTATTCGGTAGCCCAATGTACTTTCTCGCCCAAGCAGTCAGTTTGGGGGGTAGCACATTGCATGTCGTGTATCAGTACTAGATTTCGGACACCGCCCATCACAACAAATAGAATAATTCCTACTGAAAATTAAAATGTTGGTGATGAATATGTTGACTCAATAGTCTTTATTGAAAGTATACAATCAATAAACGCTACTTAATATACACAAGCTATAAGCCAATGTTAGGTAGGTTAAGTCAGTAAGGTTGGCTGGAATTTATCTACAGATGAGAAAAGTTTACTTATGTATAAACTATACTTAAATTGTCTCGATCGTAGCAGCCACCTTGACGCGGTGGTCGGGCTTGCCTATCGTGATGACCCAACCGAGCTCTATTGGCCGGAACATATGTTCCTGTAGGTTCCACCACGCCAGACAGGTCGATTGGAGAACGGTAAGACTAAAAACAGCAACTTAAAGTCTGATGGCGAAGTCGTACTGCTGACTGTAGAGGGGTGTGACAGCAGTAAGGTGTTTCCCTCGGACAACCAGCATCTGCAGCGATGCTGCCTTCTCACAAGGAAGGAAGGGGTTAGAAAAGGTCGATCCTAAAAATGTCACACCTCACCTTACCTCACTGATTTCCGTCTCCGGCGATAAGGCTCTTTGAAGAACGGAGCTAACACATTAAAAACCTTCCATGAAAAGGCCGTGCGCGACCGCCCTCAAGCAGTTGTCTCTTGGGCTCTGCGGTCACGCTCCTAGGTCGTTAAGGCCAACATTAATCCAACTTCCTTTTCAGGTTCCTCAAGAAATACCCTTCCACGGCGTGGGCAGCCGGGAAGTGACATCAGCCTTCATACCCGTAACAGCACACGAGACCAAGTTGGTCACATTCAAATCCTTCCTACACCTCCTAATACCTCTCTTATCTCCCCGACTAACCTTTCTCACGTCCCTTTATCACCTCGCAACGCTAGGGTAAACGATTAGAGTACACAAAACGTTATTCCTGGTCTCCTGAAACCACGCTCTAAACTACACGTAGGAGCTTTCAACGTCCGAACACTGCGACAAATAAGAAAACAGGCTTCCTTAGCTAGGACTTTAGAATCTCGCGCCATCGATGTGTGCTGCGTCTCTGAAACGCGCATACAGGATCCGAGTAGCGTCATTCATTTGACCTCACCATGTCAAAATAAAGAACCAACTCGATTCACACTTTGTGTATCTGGAAGCCCTGATGCTGCTTCTCGTGGCCTCGCCGGCGTAGGTATAGCACTGAGTCGTAGGGCAGAACTAGGTCTCTTAGACTGGATCCCAGTAGACAGTCGTTTGTGCTCTGTCCGACTAAACTGAACAGTAAGGGCTCGCAGAGATAGGTACACTCGTCGTTGTCTCTTCGTCGCCTCTGCCTATTCTCCCACTGACTGCAACTCAGATGATGTAAAAGATGAGATTTACAGAAAGCTTTCCGACCTCCGAAAAGCTAGGCGCTCTGATGTAGTAGTAGTGCCTGGTGACTTTAATGCTCAAGTAGGTAAACTAAGCGAAAGGGAAAGACACCTGGGTGGATCTTTTAGCGTCGTGGCTCAAAGAACAGATAATGGCGACCGTCTGTTGCAGCTATGCTCAGATAACCGCCTGTTCCTTGCAAATACTAACTTTAAGCATAAGCAAAAACATCTTTTAACATGAATAATTTTTCTGGTTAGCGTTTTTTTAGCGAGTTAGTTTTCTACGGGATGGGGACGCTAACCCCATGCCCAACCCTCCTCCTTTATCCGGGCTTGGGACCGGCAGTAGCCCTCGGAGGGACTCCAGGCGGAGTTATCTTTTAACATGGCGACCCCCTAATTCGTCCCAACGTTGGGCCCAAATAGACCACACCGCTATCAGGCATCGATGGAAGGACTCAGTAGAAAACTGTCGCTCATTCTGGAGCACATGCTTAGATTCAGATCATGCTCTAGTGCGAGCGCGTATTAGCCTGCGTCTTACTGGACGTAGGAAAGACACTACAAGGAAACCTCTTAGGGCCCTACTTAATGATAGTCAAGCTAAGAGTATATTTCAGGAACAACTGGAAAAACAGTTAGGCAGCCATGTATGTGATGCCCACCCCGAGGCACCATGGAATGACATCCGAAAAGCTGTAGAAACAGCAGTGATATCTGCCAGTACGGTAAACCACAAGGTTAGGGAGAAACACTGGATCTCAGCAGCATCTACCACTCTGATAGATGCTCGAAAACTCATTCCATCTGGCTCTGAACATAACGAAGAGTGGAGTCAGTTCAAGCGCAAGCTTACAGGAAGCCTACGCAATGATCGTGAACAGTGGTGGGTAGCGTCCTTGACGTTGATTCCTAACAAAAAATAGAATAAAAGTAGGTTGACATTTAATGCTGAAAAGACAGACGAACTATCAAATCTATCGTTTACCATTACCATCGGAATATATGTCATAAATCCCAGGGACGTAGGAAAAAACTGTGACCAATAAACTCCAACCATGTGAGACAGTTAACCTCTAGTAGCATTGTAAGATGGCTAAGTAGTCTGGTGATTCGAAACCGAGTACACAGATGTATATATGGTAAACGAATTACCTTATTTTGTGTTTGTTTAGTCGATACGAAGGTTTTACCTGGGAAAGCTGGGAAATCCTGATTCTAAACTAGTGGTGTACGTTGGCTCCAGAATCCTGAGGGAAACATTTGTAGTCGCTGACTACCATCGGACAGCACCATCTGGCGTTGTTCGAATGCCTTGTGGGTTGGGCCTTTAGGTCAGAAGCTTGAGGAGACGCTTCCTACGAAAACTACTTGATTCGGTATAAGGACTCACAAATGTTATTTTCTGTAGCGCATATTATTTGAGTACTCAGTCGTATCACATTTTAACTGCATCAAATAAAAACCGTGAAATGCGTGAAGTTAGACAGCTAACCGGCAATTGAACGGTCTAAAGGTTAAGTGTTAAGATTCTTACGGCGTCATGGATGTCCTTCGATGCTGAGAAGTCCCATACTAAGACGAAACAGTTAATCAGTAGTTTTTGGTTTTCAATGATCATCTGACTAAGATTGGTCAATGATGTAAACTATGAATTTCAATCACATCTACAAACGCTCCATAGTAATAAAACTGTACAATATATTAAACAACTTACTTCTTTATCCCATTCAGGCGAACAATTCGCCTGTATCATTACTAATCTATGTGAATTACACAAATCAACGATGTAATTTGATAATTTTTTCGAAATCTTATTGACTACTGTCAATGTTGTTGTAGGTTCATCACTGTTGGTAGTAGTAGTAGTTGTTGTTGTATTTACATTATCAGTAGTGGTCGTTTGATGATCAGTTGAATTAAAATTTATAGGTATGAAAATTTCGCTATGTTTTGAATCAGTAGTAATATGCTGAACTGATTCCTTTTCTCTCTCTTGTTCTTCTCTTTGTTGTTGTTGTTGTTCTTTGTCGTTTTCTCCTTGATAAATTGGCCAATAAGCATAAGTTATACCGGAATCATGTAGTAAACGATTAAACAAGTGAATTGGTTTACCCAAAGATTTATAAAATGAACATAATTTTAATAGATGATCTTGAAAAACTGGATGAGTTTCAAAATATTGACTTTCTGTTAATAAATCATTACATGTTGATGAAATAAATGGAAGGTTATTGTCGTTAGTAGTATTGTTGTATTGCTGTAAACAACCAGAGATGTTTGAGTTTTGTTTATTACTTGTTAATGCAGTAAATCTAGCAGACTTAAAAAGGTGTAAACAAATCATTTTTTTCTTAGTTTCAAGAAATGAATTACCAAAAGAAGTATTCAATATATATATTCCTTTGAAACTCTTTTTATGAGTGCAATCAATTGAGAGAAGGTAAAACAAAAACTACACAGATTGTTCTGTCAGAAGTTTTCTTTGTAAACAAAATGATTGATACTTAACTATCAAATATTTAAGTCCGATGATTTTCAACCAATTAGCAGTAGTGAGTGAGTTGAGATAATATTAGAAAAGTCCTACTTAAATTATAAATAAACTCCAACATGTTATGTCTTATGGCCTGTTAAATACTACGTGACAAAATCGTCAGTCACACTATCAACTTTCATGACTTTGTCCCTGTGCTAAACCAATGATGCGTCAACCAACACTAACAACCTTGAGTCAACTCTGAATTTGGAATCCTAAAGAGAAACGGAAAAGAGAAAGGCCAAAGAACACACTGCGTTGCGAATTGAAAGCAGATATACAAAGGATGAATAGTAACTAGAACGGATTGCCCAGGACAGATTTGGATGGAGAATGCTAGTGGGCGGCTGATGCTCCTCCACGAGGAGCAATAGGCGTAAGTAAGTAACATATATAAAAGCTAGTTACTTAATAACTATCCAATAAGAATATATGTAATAATAGTCCATAAATAATCCCTGGCAGTTACCACTCATCTATTATTCTTCGTTTGGACGTAACAGTATTTTTACATCGTTATTCATAAGGATTTAGAAATATATATATATATATATATATATACGGTGTATGGTAATTACGTCTGTCGGTATAAATAGTACGTAACACCAATCAGAAGTGAAGTGTCAGGCAGTAGAAGGTTGTGAAGATGGAATTGAAGAAAACGGGGATGTAAACAGAGTGTAATTACAAAAGGCATTGAAGGAACAATGAAGTTGGAGACAATTGAAGAATGTAATATATGGTTTTCACATTTTACCAAAGAATTCTGTAATTTTGCATGAATTACTATATACATTGGTCGGTTCTACCTGAGTTCTCGTTCACTACATATATTTGTTCGCTATCATTTCTTGTTTTAACTTGTGAAGAATCGAGAGAAGTATATTTTCCAAGGAATAACTAAGCAAAAGAATAAAATAACTATTCATTTAATCAGTTGGATATGTTAGTTCCTCCTTCAAAGAAATGTAATTTAATATCAGATGGGTTTTGTGGATATTACAGTAATTTCAATGGTTAAGATCATGAGTCAGTTGAAGCTAGACCACCATGCACTAAATACAGGAGGTTGATTATCTTATCAGATTCATTCCACTTACTGATTGTTCTGTATTTGTGTCGATAAACGCTCATTCTGGTCTAATCTGGTTCTTAATTAAACGGTCAAATTATTGGGTGTTTGTTGCGTGATCAAATATATTTTTAATCTAACGCTGATAATGCAGACAGTTTTAACTCTTTTTTTCATTATAATAAAGACTTAATAAGTAGTATTGTTTGATTTTCAAAAGTAAATTAGATGAAACTGGGTTCGAAACCGCATCGATAAAATAATCTTCTTACTTATACATAGTAACATCAACACATAAATAACAATTCGGAATACCTTGGTTTCTATTGGCGATTGGTAATCTTCTGGGAAACGCCAAGATGTAGTCACATCACCAAAGCCAATATCTAGACAAATAAACAATTACAAATATGAACTGAACACATAAACAAATAAGTCGAATTTAAGATAATAATGTTATTTAAATAATTCTGGGTTTTATTAGTAACAAACTTTATTATCAACTATTATCAAATGGGTATGTACAGTTGCTTTTCGTCATGGCTTTAAACTTCCTCAGCAATGAAGTTCAGCGATTCCATATGAGACTGAACTCACAACTTTTGTACCCTATGGTATATATGATACCATTGTGATAACATATAACAGTTTCCACCCTTCATTTAAAATCCATTTTCAATGGAACACGGTCCTTAATCAACAATGTCGGAGGGTAATGGTCTAAGTGCATGTTTATGTACTGGGAGTTGAGTCTGTTTGAATCAATCTTTGTGATACATACAGTTACTCAAACCGAAATAGATTAATTGCAGTTTGAACCCGCCACTTAATGGTTAAATTTCGAATGCTTTGAACATAGAACTGTTGTAACGTGTGAGAGACTGCAGGTTTTGGTAAGCAGCGTTTATATCGATCTCTTCTGTGACAGTGGACACGTAAACACGTAACGGACGACCTAGTGCCCTGCTTCGCTGTCTGTCCTAGCCAGTTGAGTCAAGAACGCAAGTCCCAGCCTCTGAGTTATGAATCATTATATTTCAAACATACTTTGTTTATATACCAATCAAGCACACCACATCGTACCATAAAATAGAGAACAACATTTTGTACAATATTCAACAAGTGAACAGATATCGACCAATAGGAAATGTCCATTTAAAGTCCAAGGACACCATTGGACTTAACATGATAATTATTGGTCTATTTTTTCGACTATCCTAACAAGAACCATCAACCTTCATCTTGATTACTTTTATAGGTCATGGCTTACGTTAAACACCATAGAAAGTTGTATATCGGTTCTGAATTACACACTATTTGTTTATTTAATCAGGAGAAATCACACACTGACAACGTTTATTAACTGAAAATGATCCCGGTTAGCTCAGCCGATAGAGCATCAGACTTTTCATGTGAGGGTCGGGGGATCAATCCCCCAGTTGAGCGACAAATCCCTTGGTACGGCTGAGGGTGGGGAGAGTCCGCTCTCCCCCTTGAAATGCTTTCATATACCCACGCGTATACAGCCACTACCAGGAAAGTCCTACTCACTGACTTCTCGCGTCAGGGGTGTTGTTTACGAAACCGAGAGGATGAAAAACGAATGTCCGGCGTTTTAAAAAGGTGGTGGGTATGGAGGATCCACCTAGGGTAGTTGGAAAACCCTGATTCCAAACCAATAGTACACATCGGCTCCAGGATTCTGAAGGAACAAATGGCATATGAACCAATTATTGGTCACCGGCTACCATGGGACTGCATCTCCTGACGTTGCTCCACTGTTTTGTGGATCAGACCTTTAGGTTGAAGGTCCAGGGTGTGGTCCCCTAAGAAAACCATCTGCTTCGGCCTGGGCACCCGGTAAGTATCACAGCCCTCACACAAATCAAGTGACTTGCGTGGCGCATATGTATTCGGTGCCAATTCGTACCAATATGTGCGTGTTCAAATAAATAAATAGATGAATTAGAGAAAGTAGAGAATTACTGGTTCATCAAAATGTAGGTAATACATATGAATAATTTGTTACATGAAAAGCCAATAAAAGAATATAGTTAAGATTATGGTTAAAAGATCAGACTGATCAGAGTTGGTGTTTCAAGATTCAAAGTTAGAAAGAATCAGGACATAGAATAAGAATTAGAAGCAATGGTTATGACGAGTAATGTTGTAAAAAAACTTTTTTCTTGGGAAACATGAATGAGTTGTTAGGCGACTAGTCCTCTGATTTTAAATATCAAAAACCTTGAAGTTACCATTAAAAGAGAAAGACTAATCCATCAGTCATGGTTTCTATATTTCCTTTCATTAATTTTAAATATCTTATTCAGCTCACAATAACCTGGGTATCCGTCACTGTCTTAAACCCCATGCAAAACAGCAATCCCATAGCCGCCGTCTTAAAATATGATTGATTGATGCATACAGTATACTGTTATTTAAAACATTTAATTTTGTTTTTAAAACGAAAGCACAAAATAGGCAACAGCAACACTATAATTTATGGACGACCTTTGCGTGACGCTGAAGTGACCATGAAAATATCCACTTAAATGAGGATTATGAACCAGTGTGAAGAATTAAGATTATGATTTACAGTTGATGGTGAGGGTTAGGAACTAGATTTAAGGTTTTCATCGCGAACTGACATCAGCTAAGATTCCAGAACTCTAATTAGCCAAACGCGCCAAAATCCAAGATCTGTTATCTTAAATCTGATTGGTTTGTCCATAAATTATAATCTGGCCACAACAACAAACGATAATTAATTACCTTGGCTTAATTTTAATCGCACCAGATCCATTGTAGCAATGGCATCTTCAGCGGAAGAATGACCTCCTTTACCAGTTTGAATCATACGTCTAAAACAAAAAAGTGTATGCAATTGGAAATGTTGAAGTAACACCAGTTTTTTTTACCAAATGATTTTGGTCTTGAAGTTTATTCCTGTCTCGATGGCTAATTTCTCTAGAAAACAACAAAACTTTCTAGAAATATGAATTCAATATATTTGTGATATACATCAATCTATGAAGCTAATTTCTTTATTGTACAGCGGGGAATATATTAATAAAATGAACTGGGTCGAAACAATATTAATATTGATGCTGTGACGCGTGCTACTGACGACGATAGATAAAGTAGTATGTAACAAGAATTGAAAGTGGAATGCCTGCCAGCAGAAGATTGGAATAAAGAGAAGGGGAAAGAAAACGAGAAATAATAGGAATAACAAAAGGATCGGAAGAACGAAAAAGTATGTAAAAGAAAACGCGATGAATATATGCCAATGATGTACTTAATGTATGATTTTGATATTTTACTAAGGCATAAAAATAATAAATTGGTTTTCCCCACCAAATCTTCGATCACTATAATACCAGTATCTAACTATATGAACAAAGATTACCAGTAAAAAAACAATTAATAATTAAATTCCGTCTTAGGAAATCTGTAACTCCAGACATAACTCAGTCTTAATAAGCAAATACTTACTCCATAGATCGATTCTAGTTCTTGGTTGACGACCTTAAACATTCTTTGTTTTCCTCACTCCTACTAAGTAATACGCTCAGTTGTATTAGAAGGTACTTACAATATTTATGTAAAATAATATTTTGGTTATTAGTTGGATTTCGCCCTTTCAACCAGTTGCCATGAGGTATGGCAACCTGGACCGATGCACATATGTGCCTGGTCCTACGTTGTAGCTGACTGACTGTATGTGAGCATGTAATACTCTTTGAATAGATTTATTCAATAAAATCAATGAATTGAGAGTTTAAATCTCTGTAGTTGGAAATAAGTATCTAACTTATAGCCACAATTATCCATGTCTAGAAAAATATATTTTTCCTGAGACTCTGTTTCCTTCTAGACTATCAACCTATAAAATAATCAACTGCATGGAAAATTGTTGAATTATTTTCCACAGCTATTACTATTTCACTATTCTACATAAATATTTCATCTCTGCTCTCGATTACGATTTTTCTGTAATTTACACCACTGACTGGCATTAACTAGACAAACACCAAAAACCAGAGTGCTTTTTCGTCCAAATATGAAACTCTTCAACAATATACGTATTCACGACCCTAACGGGAATCGAACCAAGGATCTTCAAATCTCGCAGCGAGCACTTGACCTTTAGACCAATGAGTCGGTATCCAATGGTTTACATTACTAGCTCCAACTAGTTCGCGATATAGTCTAATTTCTCTTCCAGAACTACTTTACACGCAACATGGTTGGACTACATTGGTCATGAATTCTTATTGGAACTTTGAGAACCACCTTTATGGTTATCAAAAGTCAGTCCGTGGTGTCAACTATGGAAACTCAACAGCCCTCATACACGCTTTATGCCAATAATTTTCCATAAATCTGATAGTAAATTATGTACACTCGTCTACCGTGGATCAAAGAGAGTCGATACACAGAATAACTGACTCTATACTTATTCTGCTACAATTACTGTTGTTTTTTTCAAACAGAAATCCCGATAATCAACGAAAGAATTCTAACAAAAATGAACACATATATGAGTTATTATTTAGTGTGAAAGAAAAATAAAGAAACTAATGACTAACCCAAGAAAATGTTCTGATAGAAATCGAAGACGTGTTTTAGCCGCTCTATTGCCTTTCAGATTATAGATGACACTTGTATCAATTAAATACGGATGAAAAACCTGAAATTATTCAAACAATTAAGTAAAAACAGCAATTTTTAGCGAAAAGAAATTTACAGGTTTTTTTCTAACTGTAGTAGTGGAAAACAGTCATAGACAAGATGATTCGAGAAGAAAAGGAGTAACTTCTCGTAATGAAAAGTATCAGATAATTTTATAACTCAAGATCTAAGGAATGACAAAAATGAATAGATCTACATCCACTTTGTAACTGATTCTAAGACATATGGCCCAACCTACATGATAAATTGAGATTTTGTGTGAAAAAGAAAACAAACATTACCAAACTGCCTAGAACCTTGATCGATAAGATTTTGTTAACTGAAAGTTGATTATAACGAATAGGAATGTAAAATGTTAGCGTATTTATTTCACTAATGAACTAGATAGAACATTTGAAGTATTAAAACAATAAACCCAATGAATATTTACAAATTAATTCTGAACATTAGCAAAAATTGTCAAGCTTAATTTTATGTTAATAGTTTGTACCAGAGGCTGGTCGAAGTTAGACTTCTTTAGCCCGCTGATCTGACTTCGATTTGGACGAACGCATGAATATCCTATGAATATAAATCTTCCATTTAACTCCGTATATTACCTAGGCTAACCCCGTTTATGTGACAGCGGTAATAAGAAGTCGAATACGAGTTGCGTTGGAGGAATTAATTTCAAGAATTCATTTATCCAGACACTCAGAATAAGAAAGGGAGCAGAGAAGGCGAGTGAGATAACTCGATTTGATCAAGCGTGACTCGATATTTATAGTCAGACAAAAATAAGCTGCAGACACGCAATGATTATGGTAAGTAATTAACACACACTCATATAAAATCAATCAAGCGGATAAGTGACATGGTCTAAGTGTGACTCAAAAAGAATAAATAAATTGGTCTATTCAGAAGCTAGAACAACCCGTGTTAGCTTGACAAAGTACCAGCCACTACAAGACAACTACTAAAAATGAGGAATCGTTGAACTCGTCAACACGATGCATTGATAATCTCACCGGGGATCGAACCCAGAACCTCCCTATCCTGCATAGAGCAATTAACGTTTAAACTAGTGAAACGAGATTTAATGGTTTACATGTTTGATCTCACTCAGATGTACAATGGATGACAGTAATTAGTTCAAAAATCTAGAATTTATTTCTTTATATAAACCATTAATTCACTATTTTTTTTTTAAAAAAAAGAGAATTTCACCTGCCTTCATGGCTTCTAAATCATTTCCAATCGAATGACCAACTAAGATAGCATCTCCTGGTAACGTTTCAGCTAATTCACGCTGTATATCTGCCAGTGTAGTGTCTATTAATGCAAGCATTTCTCTAGTAATTCCACTGAATCTGAAATCAAAAAATAGTGTAAAATGCAAAAATATCAAAGATTAGGTAAAAATCTGGTTAACAGAAGAGCTGTTTCGTTGAAATCATGAATTGATCAATGTTATACCGTCATTGAAAACCTGGAAGCAGTGGACAACTGTCTAGTCGTAGTGTGAGACTTCTCAGCAGTAGGCATTCACGACTCCACATGCGGAAATCAAACACAGGACCGATGGTCTCGCGTACCAAAGCCTAACCTCTAGTATACCATTATGGATAGATTTATAACCGTAATACCTCTTCACCAACTATTACGTATTGACACTGGTACAGGAGTCGGAAATCAAATCACGTAAAACAGAAGTGCAAACTAAACTCCCTCGACCCTCGAAAACGTTCTAATTCAGCTTCGAGAAAACAAAAAATCTCAGAAAGTTGATCGCAGCTCCAAACGATGGTGACACTACGAAATCTTGAGATATCTGAAGAGAGTTGTGAAGTAGCTTTGAGAATCAGCCATTAATACCAGGGTATCGGATTCAACTTTACATAGTTTAAAACTTTTAGAACATCGCTTGAAGAGCTTTTTGTCTAATTCCAGTCGGATTTATCGGAAAATGCCACTTCTTCCAATAATAATCAATATACAAATTATTCGTCCTATGAGAATTCCATAATGATGTAAATACTGGTTGTTTGCATCGTCTCATTGATGTTCGTGACTGTAATTTATCAGATATGGGATGCAGGTACATTCAACTGACAAGTACCAAGTAGGATGAGACGTGCATCAAAAACTCCACTGCTACCCACCATCCATTTCTGCTCATAATGTCTGCGACCTGATGGGAATATCGAAGGAGTCCGCACAGGACGTACATATGCCAAAAGAGACTAGTCAATTGCAGTTCAAAACATCGATAAGACGATTCAAATAACCAATACAAATGAATTAAAATTCACCCGATTATACAAGTGAGTCGTTATCTTGAATCAGTGACTAAGTTGATAACGTAATGGTGTTTTGAGCGGACAATAATGGGTTCGAGTCCCGGACTAAGCATCAACAGCAGGATGTAGGTGTGTACAGCTGACGAATTCCAGATGGGATAAAACGCACGCCCTGAATTTCACTACTAGTTATACTCCATCTGTTCTGTTTTAAAATGTTAGTGAATCCGGAGATACTATGAACATGATAGAATAAATAACTGTGTTAGGAATTTGGATAAAGAGTAATTTTCAGGAACAGGATTAAAGAACTTTTTGTAGGTATATTGATGAACACATATCTAGATGCTTCCTAGATATGAATTAACAACCGTTTGGTTAGTCTAACGGCCTCATAAATTATGGCCCTTATTCTTTAACCTTTCCATATTTATTAATCTTAAACGTTTTCACAACTGAATATTCACAAGTTCTTTACGCACTCATTACTTATCTGTCAATAAAATATAAGCTGACTTTCGTTAAGAAACCCATCAGCCGCTATCTTAAATTTAATTAGTTCATTAGCAAAGCATAATTTTACTAAGAATTTGAATGTTAAACTATAATAGGTTCTGAATACTTCTATAATATCCCTATATTCTTAAAAAGTACAACTTTCAAAATGATCAGTTTAATGGCTAATTAATGTTATTGTATAGCGCACAACAAAAAGATGATATGATTGGTAAACACAAACTAGATATCGACTTCTTGTACAAAAGATAAATAACTTTACTTAGTTAAATAGTCTGTAACAGGATTTGGCGGTTTCACTAAACGATCGAACATAACTGTCGCCTTCTCATCAACCATAGTCACTCGAGCCAACTCACTTCCTACGGATGTAAGTACCATTTCACAGTCTACTGCATACATTGGGCTGTTGGCTGACACAGGAAGGTATGCAGGCTGTAATGATAATATAAGGAAATTAAAGGGAAATAATGTTAATTTACTGATTGAATGGGTCATCATTTATTTTGTATATGGAAATATGATTCAATTTTCTTTTAAGAAATACTTGTTAGATTGGACGACGTCCGATACAAAAAACAAAAGATTCTTATATGCTTGTTCAACCACTTAGGCAAGCGGGAAGACTCATAAATAACAAGGGAAGTGAACTTGGGTAACCGAATTAATAGGCGGAAAAACTATATATATATATATATATATATATATATATATATATATATATATATATATATATATATATATATATATATATATATATATATATATATATATATATATATATATATATGCTGAAAATGCAGTGAATGCTAAGCACGGAATTGATAAAACTTAAACCTAAAAATTTAGGACGTGAAAATATAGAAGTTGAAAGTGTGCATATCAAGCGTATTTGGTGAAGTTTCTAAATACTCTGGATGACGTAACATTGGTCGCTGCTCCTTGAATCAACCGACGTAAGAATATCAATCCTACAAGTCAGTTGCAGTTCAAATAGCTTAGCACTAATTTTTTCTGACTGAAACCGGGTAACACAGGTTTGAGCCCCATAGGAAACACCAAACCTCTCAATAGTGTGGATACATGTTACTGGCGAGTGGTAACTAATATGGTTTTCACTCCCGACTGTTTCCAATCTCTTAACATACCTTACAATAAGAATGACTCAAACCTTAGTTAATCCTAAATCAGGCAAAAAAGGCTGTGAATTATTTATTTTCGATACAAATTTGTTTAACTCGAATATTTATTGTCTCCATAAGTTGGATTGGTTGACTTGTTTGAAGTATTCAATTTCAAAGTACTGAGTTACAAGTACAAATCCAACTCCTCTTGATACAGCTCGCGCGATCGCATTGTATTACTGGTGCTTACACCTAAAACTCAAGTACGCAAACACCTGATTAGTGAGCGACACTCAACTAGATAAATCCTACAGCTGGGAAAATGTAAAAGCAGATGGTTGGTTTACGGCAGGTGGTTTTGAACACAGAGAATTAGTGCAAACCAATGATTAGTTAGGGGTGAGCCATAATATCAAATACCTTATAGTTTTATGCACATCTTTAATATACACAATTTTATGTGATAGATTATGGAAAGTTATGTCTATTATGACGGTTGTCTGCTCATATTTCATGAAATGAAGTTAAGTTTGACCAGTGCAACCCATAAGTTAGAGTTTGTAGACAACCAAGACAAGTTGGACAAACAGCATGGTGTTGATTACTTACCATCGGGTATCTAATGCATATGTACCGAAAAAACCCAAACAGTTCAGTAATCATTGGTAAATCGTTGCGTGCAAACTCTTTGCACAATAAATTTAGACATTTTGACAGAAAGAAATGTAAAACATCCACTGAAGTGCTTATATTACGGACTGCTATTGAACTGTCCCTTTTGAAGAATGTGTATTCTGAACATCTGGACTCAATGCCCCAGTGCATAACGTGTTCGGGGTTTGAAGAGAAAGTTAGTGGGTTCAAATCTCAGTGTGTAGATATCAATACTAGAATCGAAGTAAATCCAGATGCGAAGTCCCAAAAAAGATGAAACGTGAGTTCTGGATTCTGTTGCTAGCCACTAACACTCAAAATTAATAAAAATTCAGTAGCGTAGTGTATAAGTTTTTAGCAGATATAGTAAGTGATGAATGATTGAAGGGGAACTGCATTTTAACATGTAAACAATCAAAAAAGAAACTTACTTTACTCGGTACAAAATCTGAACGGTTTTTGAAGTATTTACGTTGGTCGATTAATAATTCATTAGGTAATGGAACGTTTTCTTTTTTCATTTGCTCAACATTTAAAATCAGTAAAGTTCTATCAAATGCATCAGGTGTACCTGGTATAGGTAATGGAAAAAGTTTATCAGCTTTTCTTTTGAGAGTACGTTTTCCTACTGGTCCATTAGTAGTTGTCGTAGTAGTAGAAGTAGAATTAGTAGTCTGTGAAGGTAACTGTTCTTTAGTTATTTCATGAACTGATTTGATTATACGCATTTTATCAATAGTCTTTTCATCATCTATCCACGTGCGACGGGGAACAGGAGTTAGTATTGACTTATTTAAATCTACACACAAACACACAAAAGAAAATATGGAAAACTATAAGTTTATTTTGAACAGGGAAATCAAAAATATCAAGGTTGTCAAATTATAGTTATTATATGGAAATTAGACAAGTAGTCATATGTATAGTTTCATGAAAAAACTAGAATCATTAGTCATACCATATATAGGAAGGGATAAACATATAAGTGGTTTGTCGAATAAATGGACAAACTGTGTCTATAAAAACATAATTTTACAAAATTTAGGTTGCACCACTTATTGGTCGTTCAAAATACTTCTCGTTTAAGGTGATGTATCTGTACCGTTTCCAGAGTTTAAAGTCCCCACTTAGCTGTTTCATTGTTTCACATAATTTCCTAACCCTATTTGTTATTTTCAGATCATATGTATAGACGACTTTCTCAAATTGAGTCCACAAGCAGTTATCTGGATAGTGAATCAGCAAACAAAAAACCGCATATGTTCGATGTTTTTATCAAAGCACGAGGTTGACAGGTGTTTCGACTTTGTATCACCCTTGAAATCACAACCGTCGAAAAATAAGGTATAAATATGATAAATTTTTCCAAGTTAAACAGCCTAGTGGGAGATCCAACTTGGATTTTAACTGGTTTTGGAGTCTACTTGATTACCTTTAGATTATAGAGTGACAGACAACTAATTCTCAGTCTGTTTCTACCATACAAGGTTTTCTGTCTACCCAGTAAACCATGAAAATTAACAACTGAAATGTCAACAAGTTCACGACTATCACAGTAATATCGAGCAACTTGAATATTGGTGTTGAATGTCAAGGATTAACTTCCACGACACAAGGTTTAATGTCACAGAAAACAGTTAAGAAAACTAGCAATATGCCATCGAATTTGTAACTAAAGGTTTTCTAAAGATTGCATTACCGAAAATCACGTATGATAGATTTATTGTTCTAGTTAATCCATTTTCTAAGAGATGCCTTTTTGATAAACACATAGTGTAAGACTGCTTAGGTGTTCGAAATAAGACTAGCTGGTTATGATCAAATACCGAATTAATATATTATGTTTGTTTGTACTTTAGGAAACAGCATAAACAGCTGCTTTTCTCCTTCTTCACTCGTTATGAAATAAGTCCCCATGTATTAAACCAAATGACATTCAGACATCAGGGATATTTGGAGGGATGCTGTGATTTTCAACAAAGGCATATATATTAAAAAGACTATACTATACGTATACATCTATTGAATGGTCTACTACATAATACAATTAGGTTATCAAAAGATTTTTCCTACTATACACGTCTTTGAGTTATCGATGGGTATTTTCTCTCTTACCCTCCTTTATTCCAGATTTCTATGGAGGTTAAAAAGACTAGCAGGGTCAATAACAACATACCTACATGTTTAACACTAATTTGTAAGTAAGTGAAAATTATAGATTTATTTAACAGAAATCGAAAGTATGACTGCCGATTACCCTTAATTTTCTCAGTCCATATAAACTGTCTTTTTAGATTTGGCATAGAAATTACCAACATATTGAAGCGAAACTGGAAGTATCAGAACACAAATGTATTTTTAAATGTCAACAAAATTTAACAAAGTTTTAACCAAATATTTATAGCATAACTAAGTGAATTATATGCTACTGAAAGAAAAATAAGTTAAAAACTTTCAATTAAATGAGGTACAACAGATGATAGCTGGGAGTGGAATCCAAGGCACACATTTTTTCTCATCTGGATCTCGTCAGCTGCACACACCTATATCCCACAGTTGATGCTTAATCCGGGACCCGAACCCACTATTGTTCACTCAAAACGCCATTACGTTATCAACTTAGTCACTGATTCGAGATAACGATTCACTTGTATAATCGGGCGAATTTTAATCCATCTGTATTGGTTGAATTGTTCTATTGATGTTTTGAACTGAAATTGGTCAGAGACCTGCACAAAGTTCGAGCCTCTGGGTGAACATCAACTCTGGGATGCAGGCACATTCAACTGACGAGTACCAAGTAGGACGAGACGCACGTTGGGGATTCCACTGCTAGCGACTATCCATTCCTGCTTATAAAGCTTTTATCCTGATGATAATATCAAGGAAACCCACACAGGACGTACATATGGCAAGAGATTAATCGACTGCAGTCCTAAACATCAACGGGAAAATCCAAACAACCACTACAAACGAGTGAGAAGTGATGGTTCTTAATTTTTACCAGCAACATATTTCAAATTATTTAATACTGGAGTAAAAAACTTATAAACCGTCATAACTCCGAAAATTACCTGGAGGAGCTTTATGTAATCACAAGTATCCAGGAGATCTTAAGATTTTCATTCAGATTTGAAGCAAAGCTGAACCATAGGATTTTTGGTGCAAAGTTTAACCACGATAAGTTACCACCAATAATTGAGTCTATTTTCCCTGATTACGGTGAATGCAGTAGTTTGTCATAGGTTTCGTTGTCAAGATAAACATAACTGTAATCGCCGGACGACTGAAAATATCAAGCGCATTACGTTTAAATGTTTATAAGTGTAATTCAATGGTATCAGGACTTATGTGCGAAAGAATCAAACGAACCAACCAAATTTATGAATCCTAAACCTAATGGCACTCTCTTTAATAACGATGTATGATTTTTGTAATGTAACAACTCAACTAATTGACGTCGTAAATCATCTACTACAAAACTTCACCTAAGGGGTATGATAATGACATTAAAATGTATAGAGCTACACGTTTCGGACCAAACTGACCACTTGTTGAGCACAATGCAAATAAAGCATAGTGAAATTAGTTTTTCATTTTAAAATGACAGAACGGTAATAATTAGTAGGATGGGTCAGATGTCTCGGGACAGCAGTTAAGTTAGATAGACAAGTATGACATGGTACCTAAACTTAAAAAATATTTCGTCAGTGGTCATAATTGATTAGAAATATGCAACGAGGTAGAAAACATACCCGCCATAGCTGCTGCGTGAGTTGTGAGGAAACTTCTGGGGACAGTAGAAATTTCTCTGTCCCATGTATACTTATAAGCTTCTGGATTTAATACTTTCAGTGGCTAAAGAAAATGGATATGTTAAAAGATTTACCTCCCCAAACATCAGAGCAAACTGTTGTCCATATTTCTCGTTCGATTTTAGAGTATTTACTCTGTTAATAAATATCAGAACAATATTCTTGATGAACGAGGGCTTGGTGACTGAACACCAACTAGACAGGTAACATAAACAAATAACAAGCTTACTCAGGCCATTTAACGAAATGTTGGGGGAAAATCGTCAAGCCTAACAACTTTTGAATATCCAAAGCCGACAGAACAGTTTTTCGATCTTTAATTACAAGTATGGGCTTCTGAAGAGTAAAATATGACGTCAATCAGACGCAAACCTTTTTATTTTCTTTCTTGATTTTGTTCAACTCGCGAAAATCCATTGTTAACTACTGCAATATGGTATAAAGTGAAGTCGTAGTTTTTAAGCATCCATACTTTCAGTTAATCAATAAAATCCGTTAGAGCTGATTTTCACCTTTATTTTGCGATGAGTTTTTTGTAGAATTGATGCTTTCGGAGCAGAAAAACGTTTTAGTTCACTGCCAGTATATTTTAATACATCTGTTTAATTAATTTCAGCTAACCAACTGAAGAAAGTGCATTAATTTGCATTTATTGCACAGCGTTGTTTTATCCTGTAAAATATACGTTGACGTAAGAGACGGAAAGACTGAAATAGGACAGTATATAATAAACAATGGTTGACAGAAATGGTGTAAGAGATAAAAGTTCGCTATTCAGTGGTTTTGATCAAATATATTACAGAAGTTTAAATGTACTTGTTCGACCTTCAAGTCAGTAATATACAACCAGTCTGTCAGTAACAACGTGGGACTTTGTACGTACGTATATCAGTTCGAGTTGCCACACCACATTAGCACAAAGATGCAGTTATCGATTCAAATCCCGTAGTGGTAGAGGTAGTAAGAGTATAAAAAGTAATCGGAAAGATCAGGGTTTGAAGATGTTATTCAAGGAGTATAATACAGTGAAATAAATTTGGAAAGAGGAAAAAAGGGACATGAATAATTCAGAAGATTGGAATTTGGGAGAACACAAAGAGTGGATGCACCTGCGCCATTGCAAACGATTTTGAGCCATATCATTCAGGGTCTTAAACCATCGGTTGCTATCATCTCGCGGTCTCCAATCAGTTAGTCTACACCTACCAACATGACTCAGTCTACTTGTCAATGACTTCATGGATTTGTGTCATGTTTTGGTCTGACTGCCCCTAGATTTTTTCCAACCCACTCCGACATCATAAAGTATCACACATTGGGGTAGTCGGTCGTTGGGCATACGTAACACGTGTCCCAGCCATCTCAACTGATCAATTTTCACTACTTCATCAAACGATTTGAGATTCTTCCCTAGTACCCATTTCCTAACATCTGCATTGCTTACTCGGTTGTCCCAGGATATACGAGCAATGTTTCGAAGATACCTATGATCGAATACTAGTAACCTACGAATATCCTCTTCTCTTACCGGTCACGTTTCACTGCTATAAAGTAGGACGGAACGAACTGATGCGCAGCAAACCAATCCTTTGGCTGGTAGACGGGTATCTCGCCTACGCCATAAATGGCCCAGGTCGGCAAAAGCTAGTCATGCCCTGTGTATCCGTGCTGAGATTTCGTCACACACGAGACCACAAGGGCTGGTGAGACTTCTAAGATAAGTGAAACGGTCGACAATGCTATACTTTGTGTTCAAATTTCATTTTATCCTTTGCTTTTTTTCCAAAAAATTTCATCTCTTAAGATCCCTTTTCGGTAATTTACAATTGATGTCCCGAATTTAAGTATGGCAAAAAGCCTTTTGTGGTGGGAAAAATCAGATCTTATAATCGAATCATAATTTAACTGACCAGTGAACGATCTGCAAAGTCTATATTCTATGACTGTTTATGCTCTATGTGAGATTATGTATGCCAAAAGAGTTGAGCGGTTCTATTTAGCTTGTAAAGACTGAGAATGAATAGTTTTCAAAGTGATTTATTTGCAGTCGATAGACATACCTAGACCGTCTACGCACGATCGTTTGACTGTGCTACTTTGCACCAATTGTGATGTGCGCAAAATACCGATATATTAAGTGACGATCTTACTGTGTGCAATCCATTATTTCTCTTAGTTCTTATGGAAAATAGCCTTTAAAGTGACAGAAAACATATGAGCTACTAGTATTTTGAAGCATAGTCCATGTATTCTGATTTAACATAGTGAACGAGGATGGCATTAGATGTATGGTACTAGGTAAATTATACAAATTGGTTATTAAGGCTGTAAAATCGTGTTCAATTCAGGTGGTTAGAAAGTATGTCACTTAAGCCAGATTACAGTGTACCTAGGGTCTCAATAGCGACTAGTTTATAGGCAGGTTGAAAGACTACAGATAACCAAACTAATATGACATCATTCACTTTCGCAGCCAGACAGAGTTATATGGGGATTTACAAACTACCTGGTTGGGATTCACAAGATATTTATAGTGAATAGTCAAATGCCTTGGGTGAGATGGTTCACAACCATACACAACAATAGAGACGAATCCAATTTTGATCGTTATCTGAATCTTGATTTTCAACATTACTTTACAAACTTAAAACTGTGTACGCACTTTATTTTCCGGAATCTTAACATCCACTTTCAGTCCTCCCTACTATTATTGATTTTGTCACTGCTTCGATCCGTTTGCTCACCACCTTGTTATAACAGAACAAGCCTGTGCATACTGGAACCAAGCTCGATATTACGAATGAGAGAATTTCATGAAACTAACAGCAAAAAAACATTGTGAAAACATTCGAAAAACAAATCTATTAGTTCGTTTACAATATCTTGAATACTATCACACAAACTGCATTGTCTTTGCGTTGTTTTCAATTTATTCGGATTACAATTAGAGGTACAACACTAAATAAAAAAACAGAAACTAATCTTTTAATGGTATAAGATATTAAGTGACAAACTTTCTGAACTGTCATGAAACCTGACTGTAGAAAAACCAGTTGTAATAAGATTATAAGTTGTAACAACTCTTACGTAACTAATGTCATTACAAAGTATTTAAAAGTACTCACTGGAAACTACTCAATAATAACTCAATAAGGTAGTCTTTTGCTGTTTCGGCCATTCCAATAATAATCTCCGTTCGCATGCGTCTAAAGTTCTGAGTGAGGAACCACGAAAATAAACCGTGGTATAAATATTATCAAAACTGACATGTCCGTTTTCTCATAGCAGTAAAAATGCTGATTTGTAATGGCGTTAAGTTCGTCTGCATCATCAACAGTCCTAAATTAAACTTCTCAGACTTGGCCGAGTAGCCAAGATCTTATTACTTTTACAAACCGCTCACTCGTTGTTTTGTTACCGAAGTGACTTAATATCATCACAAGTTCGTAATATTCAGAAAGTGTGAGCACACAGTTACCATTTGACCAGTGGATTATAATACAAACTCTTATTACGATGTCAGTGTGATTGAAATGCAAGGGACTTTAAACCGTCTTACAAGACAAGAATTATGCGTTAAGGTCAATCTTTATATTGTATGACATGCTTTTAAAAACCTACAATAGCAAAAATACCTTGACCAACAACAGGTAAAAAAACTGTCCCGAGACATTCCTGAAGCTGAGTTTTGACATAGTGGGCGTGAATTTTTAACCATCAACAAAGGAAGTTTGACACAAAAAGCAACATCTGTAAAAGATAACAAGTGGTTGTTCTAACCTATCTTATTACCGACGCTGGCACATACGAACATACTTAAACAAACTTAGGGAAAACGTTGCATGGCCAACAAAGAAGTAAAGAATAAGATCTAGTATTTTAGAGACCTGAAGTAAGCTGAAACATACCACGTAATTGAGTACGACGAGGAAAGCAAGCCAGATCGCATCAAACGATTCTGGCAGTCTTTATTCAAGGTTAAGGTCATTCTAATCCTTTCGAATGATTAAAACTTTTGTTTTTACAGCTTGATGGATATTTTAGTCATTAATTTGTTGCGTTCTGTACATCAAAGTATGATTTTTGTTGCAACTTCCTCACTCTAGCTTTATTTAAAAAGGAAAGCGGTATCTTTCCTCTGAGTGTATTTCCTAATATTGATCGCCAAATTACTCATCAAGACTGATATTTTTGCCGCACTTGAATCTACTCAGGTTGAAGTCATCCCCAGGAGTACGTCTTTTTTCTGCAGACGTTTGTCATATACACGTTTCCTGCACACATACAAAAAACTAAGGGCACTGGTATTTATGTTTCCGCGTTGAATATATCTTTTACTATTGTTTTTATCCATAATTGTCAAGGTCTTTTTATAGAAAATGGAGTTGGATTTTTTTCTTGCTGTTAGGTGAAGTTATATACCAACTTCTGTTTTTCTTTGTGTTCCGTGTCTATCACCTATCAAGCCTTAAAAGACATTTTATCTAGAGACCAGTTCTCGCTGTGAGATCACAAAACAAGTTTGAGGCTTCATCGTTGTGCCAGACCTGCATGCTACTTCCCTGTTGATGATGTGATGCAATGTAACAACTGCAATAAGTGGTATCACAATGTGTGCAACGGCTGCATATAAAAGGTGTCGCAAACCATTATCACGTTAGCTGTGCAAAGCATGTTGTTCTTCAAAGTCTCTGCTGATTCTAGAGGCACTTAAGATGCTAAGCAAAACTAGAAAACTGCCCTTAGGTAAACAGGCAGCAGCAGATGAGCGGAATCTCGCTTTCGATGAGATAAAAGCGTTATCATTAGCACAGCTCTGAATTTGAATGCGATCATGAAGGCGGTCCCCATCGGGGAAACAGATAACAAGCATACTGATATAGGCATCGTCACAATGAAAAACGAAAAGCGCGTTGAAAATGAACTGATCATAGACTGCATTAAGGTACTTTAATCGACGGTTTCATTTCTGGATTCACATGTCAACGCAAAACAAACTATGATCGAGCATATTCTGAACGGTGTAGAGAATGTGATCGAGAGACACATTAAGGTAAATGATTGGCTCACAGTCACACCCAGGAAAAAAAGCAAGAGAACAGAATGTGACCACTGCGTTAGATGCCGGATCGAAACCGAATTACATGGAAGAGATGATTTCAGGAATTAAAATTCCACAACATGTTACCACGGACCTCGCTGATAGGTCAGCCATTTTTCATAAGTTAAGAGAATCTTCTGAAAAGGAACGAAAAGCTAGATTTGATCATGACCCCAATCACATTAAGTCCTCAATAAGCAAGCTACTCCCAGAAACAGTTTCAGGAGTTAGCATTTGTATGTTTTGTAGGATAGGAAAAAAGGTGGATTCTGAAAGTACTCAGAAAAGCCGCTCCTTGAAGGTCACCTTTGCTTCAGCTGAAGAAAGAAATCTGATACTAGGAAACTCACTCAAATTGATTGGATCCGAAATATACGTCCGTGAGCATCTCAGCCTGATTGACCTGATAAAGAGACGAACTGCAGAAGTAAAAATAAATGAGCGCTGCCGAAACGGTGAAATATACCCCGTACTTAGGGAATTTCAAACTGTAAAACTTCGGAGCGAAACGATCCTCGAATCAGTGTGGGTGGTAAAGGACAGTTCTCTACAGAATTGAAGGTGTACTACACAAATGCTCGCAGCCTACTAAACAAAAGGGCGGAGGTCAAGGCAATGGTGTGTATAGAAAAACCGAACATTTTTGCTGTCTCAGAAACATGGTTAAGGTCAGATGTGGCTGATAATGAAATTCAGTTGATTGGTTTTTCACCACGTGGGGCTAATAGATTAGACCGTAGGGGGGCATGGTTATCCTGTACATGAAAAGTACCTTAGCCATACGAACTGTTGAGTCAGTGGCACATGATCCAGGGACATGTGAACTGGTGCATGCATGCTGAAATGTAGACGGCAAAATATATATTAGTCGTAGTATATCTCAATTTAGAATGTGTAGTAGATGACGCCCTCCTAAGCAAACTTAAGTCCCAATGTAATAAGGGTAGAAGCTTTATATTAGGCGACTTTAATCCACGGTATACAAACTGGGTAAACTTAGAAGTAGGGTCATCGAAAATATCATTTGATCGCATACTGTTAGAAACTTCAATTTCGCTAGCTTTATTCCAGCTAATTCGAGATCCCACCAGATATGACTTGCAAAGCCCATCGTCTTTCTTGGTCGTAGTTTTCACAAGTGGTGATGACTTCGGTCAAATGACTTACCTACCACCTCAAGGAGAACCCATCATGAAATCATTTTATTCAAATTCATGCTGAGATGGCCTGTCGAACAGTCGCGCCGGCCCATCCTAACATATGGAAGGCAAACATGGAGGCAATCAACTTTGCAGAGTCAGCCGAAAACTGAAAAATTGACTCATGTTCATCAGTAGAGGAGGCATGTACTCATTTCAGGCAGTTGTACAATCGGGTTACTCAACCGTACATACCCTGGACAGTCCCAAAAACGAAGGAGTACGGCCATTGTTGGATAAGTCGGGATATTCAGTGTTTACTAAGATAAAAGAAGAAATGTCGAAACGTTACCATCAGCCTTAAAACAGAAAGTAATATAGAACCCTACAGGACGGTAAAAAATAAGTGTATAACGAAAATTCAAGAGGCTCAGAGAAAATATGATGTGCAGTTGGTAAAATCTGCACTCAAGCAGACTAAGAGACTATTCTTGCACATAAATTGCAGAACAAGGACACATCACTGGATTCCCAACGTAATTAAAGTGAATGAATTTGAAATGATAGAGAAAGATCAGGAAAAAGCATAGGATATGACTAACTATTTTGAGGTAGTTTTCATTCAGGAACCTCTTCTAGACAAAGAACCAGACACAAAGACAGAATCAACAGACTGCCTGCTCACAGTCAACTTTGGTGAAGACGGTGTACTTAAAGCTCTTAGCGCCTTATTCCCATTCTCGTTATTTGACTTATTTAATTCCGTTATTGACTAACGTGATTTAAGTCGACGATGATATACGAGAATGGGCGATAAAAAACATTCTTACGATCTTGGAGTCAGATCAACGGGTCACTAAACACTCCCTTCCAGTATACCGCTTTCCTTGTACCAACCTTGACTTTCCTTCCATCATGTGAGCTTACTCCAACTTGTTAAACATCACAACTCATTGTTCTTTATTACTACATTTTCTTATATGGAGCCTCTGACTTCATTTCACTCTATCAACAGATAATATGAATTTAATCTGGTTTATTATACCTCTGTCTGTTCTACTACACGATGTTAAGCAACGTTTGGTGTTCATATTCAAGTGCCTTGCTGCTCTTCTGTTTCTCTTTCCTTTTTCTTCAGAATCTTGCTCTGAGGGCACAGCTATGGAACATCTGACGTCTGGAACAAACTTCATGTACGTGTTGAGAGCATGCTGTGCGTCAACAAATGTTGTAATTTATAGACCAAGCCTGTAAGAATGGCGTGTGCCCGCTCATGCAGAAATATATTATTATTATGGTATTGTGGCATTTTTTTTACTAAAACCTATGTGAAGTTGAATTTGTATGCCGACAAATTTTCCAAACAACTCATTATGCCTAAATGAGGAATAATATTTCATCACAACAGCTCTTCTTCATGGAGGCCACGTAATTTTTTAAATATCATTGTCCAGAAAATCAAGTGTTCAGTATGCCTGAATCAGTTGACTCGCCCGCCCAATTCGCTGCATCAACGATTTGGTTTTACAGAAGATAAGCAGCTGAGATCTACAATCCCCAAATGAATGGTCAACTGTAGGGTTAACATTTTAAAACAATACAATAGTATGATACAACAATCAGTGTTTATGATAATTCCGTTTAGAATTTCAATATAAATAGAGATTGTAAGAGCTGCTTATCCGTACATAAGTTGAACTTGAATGACCTAGGTACTACGCCTTGAAATTTAAAATTTTTTCCTGTTACGATCGTTATGTGCTAGGTGGTTTAACTTCGTATTTTTGGTTTGGCAACCTAACAAGAGTTAATTAGACGTTATAGTATTCACCTGTTGATTGCTTTACGTTCTTTCTTTGAAAGGTCGTGAAGTGCTCAGAGGTACATTTAGAAGGTGCTCACTTTGCTTAGTTTAAGTGCATTTGTGTCATTTGTAAAAGTTAAGGTAACAAAGCCCGAAGTACGTCTAAAAGTAATTGTTTTAGTCGGCAACTTTGAGCCATTAACTGTGTTGCGTCATTATGGTCTCACGTCTGAAGAGGTTGGATTGTTGAACCTCTGAGCATAAGAATTATAAAAGACTATGATAAGATCGCTTAAAATGGTAAATTTTTTATGATGGATAATAAAAGCTTTTGAGTCCATTAATGACTTGAAGTATATTTAAGAGTTATTTGGCTTGCCTGAAATACTATAGAAGAGGACTTGTTATATTTCGATTACCCCGGAAGTGCAGTAGCTAGGAATCGAGTCATAAATTTCTGATGAGAATTCTAGTGGCTGTAAGCAAAATCTCCATTTCACACTCCAATTGAGTTGATATCTCAGATTAATAACCCAAGATTTCAAACTTAAAAAGCTATGTGCCTCGATAAAAAAATGAATTACTGTCTAAATTTCCACGACTGTCGTTAGGATGAAGGTAATCGATAAATAAACTTGCCACCATATTCAAACTTATTACCTCCCAATGCGGTAAGAAATTAATTGTATGCATTCCGTTAAATTTACCGTTGTATACCGGGATGGGTTTAATAATTTTGTGGAGATAAATAACTTCATAAAAAATAAGCGGTTCCGTCAGTCTTCATTAATAATTCTGGCCTCATTAGTTCTACTGGACACACCATAGGTGAAGAATGTTGGTCACCCATTCAAACCAGATCACTACTGAGTGCTTCATGATGCGCATCGCTCACAAAAATAAAACAACTTAAATCATACACTTCTCGAC